TCAGAAATCAGTGGCAGATGTGGTTTCAGTTTCATTTCTGGTGCACACTGCAGTCCTTGTAACCTTGTAACCAGGAGATTATAGTTCCTTTTCCACAGGGAGGGTTTTAGTGACAGGAACTCACATTGTTATTTTATTCTATATTTGCCCCCCCTCAGGGCACTGTCTGATGGAGGATGTGAGGACAGCATTAAATGGCAAAGATGGCATTTAGTCGCCTCTTGTGATCAGTGTTAAATGTGACCCGGACGCTCTTTGTCCCCGGACACAGGCGTCCAGAGGCACTTCTGTGGGTTTGTGCTGAGCTTCCATGCTCATTCTGACCATGTTGTGTGACACACACTCTCGCCCTCATCCAGTTATTGCTGCACACTCAGCTCTTTATGCCATCAGCTCTCTCCAGATTCCCTCCACCTGCCTTGGCCCATTTCCTCCCCTCTCTGTCATTTTCACACCTGAAGACCTTCCTCCTGGACCGTACCTACGTTACCTCCTCCCCCCCCCCCCCCCCCCCGCTCAGTGTCAGGCTCCACCAATCTTAAGCACTCCCTCTAAAAGGACAGGCTCTGACTCTCGCTGCCTATAAAAAAGATAATAATTTGGTCACTCAATCCATGACTGTTTGTGGGACGCTGCTGTACACAATTGGCTGCCACATTGCGCCCACAAATATGCAGTCTTCCAATATATGCACTTTACAGTGTATTCTGTGAAGTGCTTTGAGACGTCTCGAAGACGTGATAAGGCTCTGTATCAAATGCAAGGATTATAGATTACTATAGACCGAGAGGAAGTTCTGAAAAGATTGACTGGGCTCAAAATTGATAAGTCACCAGGACCAGATGGGTTTCACCCAAGGTGCTGTGGGAGATACGGGTTCAAATAGCGGAGGCTTTGGCCATTATATTTCAATCGTCATTGGACACAGGAGTGGTGCCAAGAGACTGGAAAGTTGCTAATGTTACCCCACTCTACAAAAAGGGGAAGAAGGACAACTCGGAAATTACTGGCCAGTCAGCCTAACTCTGGTAATAGGAAAGCTACTGGAGACCGTAATCCGGGACAAAATAAATCTCTAGTTAGAGGAACACGAGGTAATTAGAGACCCCCAACATGGATTTGTTAAAGGCAAATCTTGCCTAACAAATCTAATAGAATTTTTTGAAGAGGTGACTGCGAGGGTTGATGAGGGAAATGCGGTGGACATTATTTACATGGATTTTAAAAAGGCTTTTGACACAGTACCGCATAAGAGGTTAATAAAAAAACTGGAGGCCCACGGTATTAAGGGGACAGTAGCCGTTTGGATTAGGAACTGACTGAGTGACAGAGCAGAGGGTGGTGGTTAATGGGTGTTTCTCGCAATGGAAGGAGGTGTGCAGCGGTGTCCCCCAGGGATCGGTATTGGGACCACTGCTCTTTCTAATATATTAATGATCTGGACTTGGGCATAGGAGCACTATTTCCAAGTTTGCAGATGATACCAAGTTAGGTCGGGTAGTAAATAGTGAAGAAGATTGTGACGGACTGCAGGCAGACATACACAGAATGGTGGAATGGGCTGACATGTGGCAGATGGATTTCAATGTGGATAAGTGTGAGTGATACAATTAGGTGGGAAAAATGATAGGAGGCAATATAGACTTGGAGCTCAATCTTAAGGGGGTGAACGTACAGAGAGATCTGGGCGTTCAAGTAAGCGAATCATTAAAGGTAGTGGGACAGGTAGATAAGGCAGTAAAAAAGGCATTTGGTGTACTGAGCTTCATTAGTAGGGCATAGAGTATAAGAGTATAGGGGTTATGGTTAATCTATACAAAACACTGGTTAGGCCTCAGCTGGAGTACTGCGTCCAGTTCTGGGCACCTTACCTCAGGAAGGATATTAAGGCACTGGAAAGGGTGCAGAGGAGATTCACGAGAATGATACCAGGAATGGGGAACCTTAGCTATGGACAGGCTGGAAAAGTTAGGACTTTTCCTATTAGTGCAGAGAAGGTTACGCGGGGACCTGATAGAGGTCTTCAAGATCATGAAAGGTTTTGACAGGTGAGATAGGGAAAAGCTGTTTCCGCTGGTAGGTGTGTCTGTGACTCGTGGTCACAGTCTGAAGATATCTACCAAAAGAAGCAGAGGGGAGGTTAGAAGAAATGTTTTCACTCAGTGAGTTGTTAGAATTTGGAATGATCCGCCCGAAAGGGCAGTAAAGTCCTATTCGATAACAGCTTTTAAGAGAGAACTGGACAGGTATCTGGAGAAGACAGGTTTGCAGGGTTATGGGGAGAAAGCTGGTGAGTGGGGTTAATAAGTCAGTTGCTCTGTCAAAGAGCCGCACAGACTCGATGGGCCGAATGGCCTCCTTGTGCCGTAACATTCTCTGATTCTATGAGTCTATGTTTATTATTATTATCCACCTTTCACTACGCCACGCCCCGTATCTCCCACAGCACCTTGGGTGAAACCCATCTGGTCCTGGTGACTTATCAATTTTGAGCCCAGTCAATCTTTTCAGAACTTCCTCTCGGTCTATAGTAATCTATAATCCTTGCATTTGATACAGAGCCTTATCACGTCTTCGAGACGTCTCAAAGCACTTCACAGAATACACTGTAAAGTGCATATATTGGAAGACTGCATATTTGAGGGCGCAATGTGGCAGCCAATTGTGTACAGCAGCGTCCCACAAACAGTCATGGATTGAGTGACCAAATTATTATCTTCAAGCAGTTGATGGGCAGCTCACAGCTGGAGCCTCAGAGATCCCCTCAGGCCGCCTGGGTGTAAGCAGGAGCGGAGACAGGACCCTGAACCTGTGCAATCGCATGTGGCTCCAAGCGGATCCAGTGATCAGATTTACACAGTCACTACACTTTACAGACATTGTAAAATACGCCACTATATTAAATATAAGGGTTAATACAATAAAGAAAAATCCTTACATTTAATACAGAGCCTTATCGTGTCTTCTGGACATCTCAGAGCACTTCACAGAATATACTGTAAAGTGAATTGACTATATTTTGTGGGCGAACGCAGCAGCCAATTGCGCACAGCAGCGTCCCACAAACAATGGTCGAAGGGTTTATCATCTCCAGGAAAACGATCCGCCAACGGAATGTCAACAAGGTTCCTACTTACTACTACATCAACAGAGGTGTGTGGAGGAAGGAAACCTGCCCAACGTTTAGCCTTGTGTGGGAATTGAACCAGGTCTTCTCGCTTGCGAGGCGAGTTCTCTAACCACTAAGCTACAGGACTCCATTATTTTATTTGAAATAATTCTGACAATCAGAGAATTGATGAAAAAGGTGGAAGCATTCTTAAACTGTGCTGAGTGACAAGGAACTCAGAACAGAAGGAACCATTTAATGTGTGTGTAACCCTGCACTTAGTGGTATAAAATCCAAAAGTCCAGGAGATAAACACACTCTTAAAGTGCAGTGAAAACGTTGACTTGAGCAACACAATGGGAGGTATAAAGCTTTAATTCCATGAAAAGCATACCAATACAATGATTCCGTACTTTGATTGGAAGCGTTACAAGAACACTTTCCTAAATCCTTTTGAAGACCTTGATCACAAACAATCATTGAGCTCTGTATATCATTCACAAAGCAAACCCAAGCAAAAGTCCTGAAAGAAGAAAAAGTCCACACAGTCAAGATGATCTTCAACGTCAAACACAAAACACAAAACCTCAAGTAAGCTTGCAGTTCCTTGATCAGCCATTGTGCACAGTGTGACCTGTTAGAATTGGAAAGATGTACACCTGGTCATTCCTGTAATGTGTAAATGTAGCTTTACGCAGTCACTCCACTTTACAATATATTCTGTGAAGCGCTTTGAGACGTCTCAACGATGTGATAAGGCGCTATATCAAATGCAAGGATTGTCGTTATTTCTGTTGGGAGTGCAGGAGTAACGTTGACATTAGACTTAGCAACTCCATATAATGGGATCGGATGATTGGCTTTGCAACATAATACAAATTTGCATTTATATACCACCTTTCACATCAGGGGGACGTCCCAAAGCGCTGGAGAGTTGAGGGGTTGCCCCCGAGGTGAGGGTTGGTTGGTGGGTGTGGGGGACGGAGGAGGGGGCAACAAGGAATGTGTTTAGACGGCCCTTAAAGGAGGTGAGGGAAGGGGTGAGGCTGAGGGACTGCGAGATGGAGTTCCAGAGAGTGGGGCAGACACGCTGACTGCTGATGGTGGGGTGCGTGGGGATGTGAAGCAGGCCGGTACCTGCTGAGCGGAGGGAGCGACCAGGTTAGTACTGTTTGTTGTCGTGTGAAAAGCTTGAATATCAACATCTAAATTCCCAAATAGCAATCAGAGGCAGTTATAGGTGAAGCTTGACATTTACAGCCACACTGGAATGTCACTTTTATCCCAATCACAAGGAACAGAGTCACTGCTCAATGGTGACTCGAGAACAACCAGGAATACAAGTTACATCTCAGTCTCTGTGCTGTATTCTTTACAACGATTTAAGATTCTTTAGTCACTGTCAAAAGCCTTTTTAATACCGTAGCCAGTCGCAGCCCCTACTGTCCCGACCACAGCACTGCCAGCAGCTGAGAGTCCAGCCGCTCCTTCAGGGGGAGAAAGAAGAAAAAATCGACTTTTTAGTGATAATTTATCAATTCCAATAAAGTTAATACTTTCCCTCAATTCATTTCTAAACTTAGCTAAAATGAGGGGTGTAGGCACAAGCCCCACGTCGAGACTCTCAAGTTGTGTCTAGGCTTAGGCTCTTGTTCAGAACGGGGGACTGGATACCTGACCAGTTGAAAATGGTTCTACTGGAGGGGTATATAAATGGGAGACTTGTGTGAGCCTCACTCGTGCAGAGAGCCCAACGGAGTGAGGGCTGAACAACAGGTGAGAGTAGGAATTCAATGCCGAGGGGAAGGAGGTGCAGTGTAGACGCCTTTCATGTCGGGAGAACGTCCCAACGCGCTCCACATCTTCTCTCTGAAATCACTCTCCTCCCCCATTCCTGTCTCACCTCCTCTCTCTCTCTCTCTCTCTCTCTCAAACCCTTATTTATCAGGCTGGATCTGTCGAACCTGATGAATTAGACTCTGAGCGCTATCCCCTCTCTCTCCCCCGGAGCTGTCTCTCCCAGTCCCCTCCATGCCCTGCTAATCGCTCCCTCCAGGTCTCTCGGCGTACGCATTTTGGCTGCCGCCCCCCAATTCGAAATCCGCCCTTAAAATGACCACATTTCTCCTCCCCCCACCCACCCACTAGTCGACCTCTGTCGTTCTCTCCCACCACCCTCCTCGCACACTCCTCTCTCTTAGACTCTCTGCCATCGGCCTCCGAAATGTCCGCTTCCTCTCAAACGAAGACCTCGCCATCCATGACCTCATCCTGGATTGAGGATATCGACATCCTAGAGTTCACAGAAACCTGGCTGTCCCCCGATGACCTGTCCCCTCATCGAAGCCTCATCCCCTCCCCCACCGGCTACACTTTCCCCGACACCCCGCCTCAACTATCGCGGTGATGGGGTGGCGCTCATCTCTAAACCTCCTTTGTTCTATCCCCCTACTCCTCCCGCGCCTAAAGACCTTTTCGATCATGCTGAAGGATACCTCCCCCCGCCCCTCCCTCTCCCCTTGGCTCGTTGTCAGACTCCGCCACTGTGAAGCGCCCCCATGAAGGGCGCAATATAAATGTAAGTTGTTGTTGTCTAAGCTGATGCTCCAATGCAGCGCTGGGCGCAGGTTGCATTGTCGGAAGTTCCGTCCTTTGGATGAGGCGTTAAACCTGGTCTTCACCTTCAAAGGCTTCCATGATCTTGCTCCCCACTCTGTGACCCACTACCACCCTGCTTGCTCCCTCTGCTCAGTGGACTCCGGCCTGCTTCACATCCCCGCCTCGCCCACCCCCTATTGAAAGGCGCTAGATCAAATGCAAGAATTATTATTATTACCTGCAGACTGTAGGACAGCCACCAAACCACCTGCTGCTATTCCTCCTCCATTGGCTATGGCAGCCGCTGACATGGTTTTCGCTGCTATGGATCCTGCTACAATTCCAGCACCAGTGAAGCCAGCAGCACCGAGCACCACTGGAGCAGCCACCACTGCAACAACTGTGTGAGAGAGAGAGAGAGAGAGAGAGATATAGAGAGAGGAGAACAAGAGTAGAGAGAGAAAGAAGCAAGAGTAAAGAGAGTGAGTGACAATATAGCACTTTCACGTCTTCTAGATGTCTCAAAGTGCTTCACAGAATATGCAGTAAAGTGAATTGACAGAATACTTTGGGTGAAAGAGAGCGAGACAAGGCTTGTACAAGGGATAGACTGGGACAATAATAAAAAATAACCCTTATATTTGATACAGGGCCTTTCACATCAGGAGGACATCTCGACCCCCGAGATTATCAGCTGAACAGAGCATTAAGGCTTCACCTGTCTATGCCTCCCAGGATCAACAGTCAGTAATTTGGTTAATGGCTGTATTACTGGCTGTGCCTTCTAACGAAGCCAACCAGGAGATGTTCACCTACTGCCAGGAGTTGTGCATCCATGCTTGCACACTCCACCTTCTAAGCCAGTCTGGAACCTTGACATCTCGCTGGACCCCCAACTTTCCTTCCTACCCCACATCCATGCCATGTGCCGCTCTGCCTTCCCCCACCTCCATGACATTGCCCGGCTCCACCACTGTCTCACACCACAGGCCCCAAAACTCTCATACACATATTCATAACATCCAGGCTCAACTACACAAACTCACTGCTTGTCGGCCCCCAATTCCTCCCTCCATAGGCTGCAGATCATCCAGACTCTGCACGCCCGTGTCCTCTCCCGCACCAGGCTCAGCGACCCTATCACCCCCAACTCGCCCGACTCCACCGGCTTCCCATCACACAGAGGATACCGTTCAACATTCTTGGTCTTGCTTCCCCTACCTCTGAGATCTTCTATCCCCCCACCAGCCTGTTGTTTCCTCTGCTCAGCAGGTTCTGGCCTGCTTCACGTCGCCCGCCTCACTTGCCCGAAGATTGACCTTCTGCCACTCTGCCCCCATCCTCTGGAACTCCATCCTGCAGTCCCTCCGCCTCGCCCCCTCCCTTGCCTCCTTCAACACCAGTCTAAAGATCCTCCTCTTCGACTGTGCCTTCGATCATCCTCCTTTCCCCCTACCCTCCACCCTCCCCGATCCCGACCCCCAGCTCGGGTCTGAACTTGAACACTGATTGTCCTCACAGAGCTGTTGGGATGTGGTTAGGGCAACAACCTACATTTGAATAATGCCCTTCACGTCGGGAGGACGTCCCAAGGTGCTGGACCGTCAGGGTTTGAACCCGAGCAGGGGTTGGGATCAGGGAGCGGTGGAGGGTGGCTGAAGGCACGGTCAAACGGGAGGGTCTTGAGATGTAATTTGAAGGAGGTAACGGAGGGAGCAAGGTGAAGGGACTGTGGGATGGAGTTCCAAAGGGTGGAGGCAGAGAGGCAAAAGGCCCGACCATCTACGTTAGCTTTCAGGCGGAAACGGATAGACGGGGGTGGAGAGGCAGGTACACGGGACAGCGGGAAGCAATCTTTGGGGAGACAGTGCAGACACGATGCGCCGAGCGGCCTGATTCTGCGCTGTGGATATCTGTGGTGACGGTTAATATCCTACCTGCTCCTCCTGCAGTCCACAGAGCTGTAGCGCTCCAAAGTGCGGATCCTGGGGACAATAAAAAGACTTTCAACTCATCTGATGTTAAGCAACAGAGCGATTGAATCGGCAGCAGTCAAAATTAAACATTTTATCGTGCCAATCAGGATGTTATTAAGTGGAGTTTGCTCTTTGCTCTCAGTCAAGACAGCATAACTTTGTATCGCTATTTATATAAACCGTTTATTATTAAAGAGTTGACTATTTCCATCCTGGAATCCCTCCACTCGCTCACTCACTCCATCCTGCATTCAAACACCATCTCAAGACTTATTGTCGACCGCACCTTTCATCATCTTTCCCCTGACCACCCTCCTTACTGCCCTCCCCAGCTCGGCTGCCAACTCCTCCAATCATCCCGGTTCCTAAAGTGTGCGGGAACCTCAGATGCTGGGAATGGCTGCTGGCTTCCTCAGGTCTCCAGGCCTCACCTGTGTGGAAGCAAGCGGACACGATGAGCAGGATGTAGACCCGGTGCCACATTTTTCAGTCCTTTCAAGAAGTGGTTCAGTGAGATCTGGTCGAGGCTGTGACCACACGACCTGCACAAACAGCAGCAATGATTTCAGGCTGACATTACCAGCAAAGACCCAAACCAGCTCCTCAAGCACTCATCCCACCACTGGCTTTGTAACCTCTGCTGAGTTGGAGAAGCATTAGTTAGTACTCCAAGTACTCCATTGTTCCCCTCCCCACTCCAACCGTTTGAAAACCTCAAGGGGCGTATGAGTGTCATTGCTGTCTGTCACGCGCAAGAATTCTGTTTTTCAAGCTTCACAATAAATTGCCAACATTCTTATGTATTGAAGCTAAATGTCACTGGCAGAGCTGGTTTTGATTCTGTGACGTGAAGAAACCAAAACTGAAACACAAGGGTTTGTTCAGGAAAGAAAACACATACAAATGCTGTTTTTGTTTTTGGAGTTGTATCTTGTATTGTTGCAGTTCTTCTATTCTTTTATTTTGCTTTTTGCCTTTTCCGATATTGCTGGAATGTCACGAACCTTGGAACAGTCGAGGCTAAATGTTCTGAGCCACAGAGCAAGAGAAGAGATACCCTCACTCTCACCAGCTCAGCCAAACACTCAGACGAGCAACTCTGACTGAACACAGTGTAACTTAGCGACACCTCTATTATAATTGTCTTTTTGTTAAACATCAGGATGGTCCGTGCGAGTCTGTACGTTCTCACCCACCTGAGAGCTGTTTTCAGGCTGGTTTAAACAAGCTTGGCCTTGGCCTTGAGTATGTGACCCATCAGCTGATTCTAACTAAAATAGGAGCATTACATCAACAACTAACAAGAAAGCTGGTGCTGTAACAAACACACTGCTTACTGCTGAACCAATTTAACTCTTGTTTCTAAGAAGTTCCCCGTCAGTTGCTGATCTCAGTCGGGAAGGTATTAAGAGGTGCTAGTGGGAGTCCAGACATTGCCTCACACAGGGGAGTAACAGAGAGAGAATGAGCCTGGGATTATCAAGTTCCTCGTCAGTTGCACTTGTTTGAAAACTTCAAGGAGCGCATGAGTATCATTGCTGTCTGTCACGCGGCAACGGGCAGAGAGCCCAACAGAGCAAGCGGGGACCGGAGTGAGCTGGGAACGGGGTGAGGCCTATTTAACAGGAATTTGGAGAGAGTGGGAATTTAGTAGTAAAATAGTACAGAATCTCTTCACTTATTGTTTTCTAATGTGTTTCTCATCAACAGGAATTAGGCCAGGTGAAAATTGTTAGGTGACCAGTTGAAACTGGTTCTGTCTGGGAATTATATGAAGGGGAGTCTTGGTAGAGCTTCACTCAAGCAGGGAGCCCACCAGAGCAAGCAGCGACCGAAGTGAGCCCTCTACAACAGGAATTTGGTGAGAGTGGGAATTCGGTGCAGAGAGGGAAGGAGGTGCAGTATGGATGCCATTCAGGTCGGGAGGATGTCCCAACGTGCTTCATGTCTTCTTGCTGAAATCTTCCTCCTTTTCTCCCATTCCTCTCTCACCTCTCTTTTTCTCTTCACTCTCTCTCAAACCCTTGTTTATTAGGCTGGGGCTCTGTAAATCCTAATAAATAAGACTCTGAGTGCTATCCCCCCTCTCTCCCCACAGCGCTGTCTCCTCTAGCCTCCTCCATGCCCCATTGATTGATTGCTCCAAGTCTTGGCATGCGCATTTTGACTGTCCCCCCGATTCTGAGCCAACCCCCTCAAAATGCCCCCATTTCCACTCCTCACCCTCTGCTACTCGACCTCTGTCCTTCTGTCCCACCGCCCTCCTCGCCTTCTCTCTCCTGGACTCCTCCACTGCCTCCCTCTGTTCCAACCTCTGCCATGCTCACGGCAGCATGCATTAATGGTTGACCCAACCTGACGGCCCCATTGCCCACTCTCTCCGCAACACCCTCCCCCACCTCTCCTCCCTACTCAAACCATGGTCATTTACCCCCACAATCTGCAACTCTCCCCTAACCCTTTGCCCCTCAGCCCCTCCAACCTCTTCCATCAGTACCCATACCCAGATCGGCCTCCAAAACGTTCACTCCCTCTCAAACAAAGCCTTCACCATCCAAGACTTCATCCTGGATTGAAGATATCGACATCCTAGGGTTCACAGAAACCTGGCTGCCCCCCAGTGACCCGTCCCCTCATTGAAGCCAGCCTCGCCCCCCCGGACACACTTTCCCCCACAACCCCCGCCTCCCTGGTGATGGGGTGGCGCTCATCTCTCAAACCTCCCTTGGTGTATAACCCTACTCCTCTGACTGTTTTCCCTCATTTGAGCACCTTACCCTGTACCATCCCTCCTCTCTCTCCCTCAAAATTCTCCTAGTTTTACCACCCCCATCCACCCAAACCTCCTGGCTTCTTCCTCAAGGATATCGCTTGTCTCCTTTCATCGCTGTCCCTCTGCACTGAATCATTGCTCGCACATCTCCCTTCACTCCCTACTCCAGTCCAATTTCCCTGCCCACAGCACAGAGACAGCGCTCGTCAAAGTAACAAATGACGTCCTCTTTCTTCAGTTATCAGAGAGGTAGAGAAGTGAGGATTATTGTCCTTAGAGCAGAGAAGGTTAGAGGAGACTTGATAGAAGTTTTCAAAATGATGAGGGGATTCGATAGGGTGAACAGGAGAAATATTCCCACTGGCGGGTGGGTCGGTGACCCGAGGACACCGATTTAAAATGGTTGTTAAAAGAAACAGAGGGAGGTGAGGAGAAATGTTTTCACACAGCGAGTTGTTGGGATCTGGAATGCATTGCCTGAGAGGCTGGGGGAAGCCGATTCGGTAATTACTTTTTAAAGAGAGAAATAGATAATTATTTGTGGAGGACAAGTTTGCAGAGCTATGGGGAGAGCGCGGGGGAGTGGTGTTGATTTGGAAGCTCTTTTCAAAGAGCCGACACAGACACGATGGGCCGAATGGCCTCCTTCTGTGCTGTACAAATCTATGATTCTGTGGCCAGGGCTCCCTCTGCCTTCTCATCTGCCTGGACCTCTACTGCATTCGATAAAGGTGATCACACCATCCTCCTCCACCGCCTCTCTTCCCTCATCCACCTTCGAAGGACCGCACCCACATGGTTTGAATCCTATTTAACTAACCGCCAACATTACATTTTGGCAAATTGTTTTACCCCCCCCCGCCCGGTCACCTGCGGGGTACCCCAAGACTGCATCCTTGGCCTCCTTTTCCTAATCTACACGCTCCCTCTCGGCGATGTCATCCGCAGACATGGGGTCAACTTCCACATGTATGTGGATGACACCCAACTCTACTTCCCCTCCAGCTACGACTCCCAATCTTCTGATGTCCTGTCGGTTTGTTTAACGGACATCAAGGCCTGGATGAAGCCACATTTTCTCACAACAAAAGCAGCTGAAACCCTCGTCCACGCCTTTGTCACTTCCCGGCTGGACTATTCCAATACCCTCCTCACTGGTCTCCCCAGCTCCACATTACCCCAAATTCAAGTAAGTCAGAACTCCACCGTGCGGATTCTCATGCGCACAAACTCCATACCCTCTTCACACCAGTCCTTGCCAGGCTTCAATGCAAGATTGTTGTTGAAATCTAGCTTCACATCTACAGAACAAGAGGATAGAGTTTGGAGTTGCAAAGAAGTCATTTCGAGACAGACTTCCTTTACCCAAAGGGAATTAACAATTGGAGCATTTGTCAAGCAGAGTGCACTTGGGGTAAGGAAGGGGACTGGGCTGGACTCCTCTCCCACCTCGACTACTCAAATGCCCTCCTCTCTGGTCTCCCCAATGCCACCATCCATAAAATCCAGCTTATCCCAAACTCTGCATACTACTCACTCACCCACATTAAACCATCACCCACACCCTCACCCACTCCCCCACCCTCACCCACTCCCCCACCCTCACCCACTCCCTCACCATCACCCACTCCCCCACCCTCACCATCACCACTCCCCCACTCCTCACCATCATCCAATCCCTCACCATCATCCACTCCCCACCCTCACCCACTCCCCACCCTCACCCACTCCCCCACCCTCACCCACTCCCTCACCATCACCCACTCCCTCACCATCACCCACTCCGTCACCATCATCCAATCCCTCACCATCATCCACTCCCCACCCTCACCATCACCCACTCCGTCACCATCATCCAATCCCTCACCATCATCCACTCCCCCACCCTCACCATCACCCACTCCCCCACCCTCACCATCACCCACTCCCCCACCATCACCACTTCCCCCACCCACACCCACTCCCCCACCATCACCATCACCCACTCCCCCACCCTCACCCACTCCCCCACCCGCACCCACTCCCCCACCATCACCATCACCCACTCCCCCACCCTCACCCACTCCCCCTCCATCACCATCACCCACTCCCCACCCTCACCATCACCCACTCCCCCACCCTCACCCACTCCCCACCCTCACCCACTCCCCCACCATCACCCTCACCCACTCCCCACCCCCACCCACTCCCTCACCATATAATACATATATAATATCCACACAATGTAAGTGTATAATACATATATAATAATATTCGCACTATGTGAGTGTACACTATCCGCACTATGTGAGTGTACACTATCCGCACTATGTGAGTGTTCACTATCCGCACTATGTGAGTGTACACTATCCGCACTATGTGAGTGTACACTATCTGCACTATGTGAGTGTACACTATCCGCACTATGTGAGTGTATACCACACAGTGTACAATGTGCTGTGATGAGGAGCCCATTACCTGCAGCAGTCGCTGTGCTGATGGACACGTCGGGAGGACGTCCCAAAGCGCTTCACAGAACACACTGTAAAGTGAATTGACTGTATATTTGTGAGCGACAAGCATTGTTTCAGGCAGTATTTCCACCGCAGTTCCATGTATTAGAAATCCAAACATGTGAAACCCATCACTGTATTCCATTTGGATTATTGTAGTGATTATTAGTAGTTAAACACTAATGGTGTGTGTGAGGTGGTGGTGAGGCAGAGGTTGGCGTGTGGTGATGGTGAGGCTGGGGTGTGGGTGATGGTGAGGCTGGGGTGTGGGTGATGGTGAGGTGGGGAATGGGTGATGGTGAGTCTGGGGTGTGGGTGATGTGAGGCTGGGGTGTGGGTGATGGTGAGGGTGGGGAATGGGTGATGGTGAGGGAATGGGTGATGGTGAGGGTGGGGAAGTGGGTGATGGTGAGGGTGGGGGAGTGGGTGATGGTGAGGCTGGGGGAGGGTATGGGTGAGGCTGGGGGAGTGGGTGATGCTGATGGTGAGGGTGGGGAAGTGTGTGATGGTAGAGGTGAGGGTGGGGGAGTGGGTGATGGTGAGGGGGGGAGTGGGTCACGGTGAGGGTGGGGGAGCGGGTGATGGTGAGGCTGTGTGAGTGGGTGATGGTGAGGGTTGGGGCGTGGGTGATGGTGAGGGTGGGGGAGTGGGAGAGGGTGGGGAGTGGGTGATGGTGAGGGTGGGGAGTGGGTGATGGTGAGGGTGGGGGAGTGGGTGATGGTGAGGGTGGGGAAGTGGGTGATGGTGAGAGGGGAGTGGGTGATGGTGAGTGGGTGAGGGTGGGGGAGTGGGTGATGGTGAGAGTGGGGAGTGGGTGAGGGTGGGGGAGTGGGTGAGGTGGGGGAGTGGGTGAGGGGGAGTGGGTGATGGTGAGGGTGGGGAAGTGGGTGATGGTGAGAGTGGGGAGTGGGTGATGTGAGGGAGTGGGTGGGGGGGGAGTGGGGATGGTGAGAGTGGGCGAGTGGGTGAGGGTGGGGAGTGGGTGAGGGTGGGGGAGTGGGTGAGGGTGGGGAGTGAGTGATGGTGGGGAGTGGGTGAGGGTGGGGAGTGGGTGATGGTGAGGGTGGGTGGGTGAGGGTGGGGGAGTGGGTGAGGTGGAGTGGGTGAGTGGGGTGGTGATGGTGAGGGAGTGGGTGAGGGTGAGGGTGAGTGGGTGAGGGTGGGGAGTGGGTGATGGTGAAGGTGGGGAGTGGGTGATGGTGAGGGTGGGGCGTGGGTGATGGTGAGGGTGGGGAGTGGGTGATGTGAGGGTGGGGGAGTGGGTGATGGTGAGGGTGGGGGAGTGGGTGATGGTGAGGGTGGGGAGTGGGAGAGGGTGGGGGAGTGGGTGATGGTGAGGGTGGGGAGTGGGTGATGGTGAGGGTGGGGAGTGGGTGATGGTGAGGGTGGGGGAGTGGGTGATGGTGAGGGTGGGGAGTGGGTGATGGTGAGGGTGGGGAGTGGGTGATGGTGAGGGTGGGGGAGTGGGTGATGGTGAGGTGGGGAGTGGGTGATGGTGAGGGTGGGGGAGTGGGTGATGGTGAGGGTGGGGAGTGGGTGATGGTGAGGGTGGGGGAGTGGGTGATGGTGAGGGTGGGGGAGTGGGTGATGGTGAGTGGGGGAGTGGGTGATGGTGAGGGTGGGAGTGGTGATGGTGAGGGTGGGAGTGGTGATGGTGAGGGGACAATTGTCTGTTGTTGTATAAATGGAGCTTTAGAGTTTTGTTTCTTCAGAAATCAGTGGCAGATGTGGTTTCAGTTTCATTTCTGGTGCACACTGCAGTCCTTGTAACTCCCCACCATCACCATCACCCACTCCCCCACCATCACCCACTCCCCCACCCTCACCATCACCACTCCCCCACCATCACCATCACCCACTCCCCCACCATCACCATCACCCACTCCCCCACCTCACCCACTCCCCCACCATCACCCACTCCCCCACCCTCACCCACTCCCCACCATCACCCACTCCCCCACCCTCACCCACTCCCCCACCCACTCCCTCACCATATAATACATATATAATATCCACACAATGTAAGTGTATAATACATATATAATAATATCCGCACTATGTGAGTGTACACTATCCGCACTATGTGAGTGTACACTATCCGCACTATGTGAGTGTACACTATCCGCACTATGTAGTGTACACTATCCGCACTATGTGAGTGTACACTATCCGCACTATGTGAGTGTACACTATCCGCACTATGTGAGTGTACACTATCCGCACTATGTGAGTGTACACCACACAGTGCACAATGTGCTGTGATGAGGAGCCCATTACCTGCAGCAGTCGCTGTGCTGATGGACACAGACACTCACTGTCCGCGGCTCCGCTCTTTATACCGCAGTCCCGCGGGCTCCCGGGTCCTAGCGCTCCACACCGCTCTGTTCCCCCAATATAATAATAATAATAAATAATAATAATAATAATCCTGGCCTTTCATAGAGCGCCTTTCACATCGTCCATCGTCCAGGTGTCCCCAAGCACTTTACTGTAAAGTGTAGTGACTGTGTATTTTGTGAGCGATGCTTGTAAAACGGTTAAGACTTTCGGTTTGCAGTAGAATGATTGGGAGCAGAACAAACATAAAAACAAAACAAACATAAAAACAGAACACAAATATTAAAATACGTCCCTGGGAACACTCAAGAGGACGGGCACCGTCTATACATTCAGAACCGGTCTTGTGGAGCTCTTTGAGACGTCCCGCCCGACGTGATAGGATCTGTATTAAATCAAAGGATTATTATTGTCAATGATCATAATGTTTATTTCACTGATACTCTCCTGACCTGCTATCTAACAGAGATGGGCTGAATGAGGCGAGACAACATTTGGGGACAATAATAATAATAATAATAATCCTTCCATTTGATAGAGCGCTTTTCACGTCGGGAGGACGTCCCAAAGCGCTTCACAGAACACACTGTAAAGTGAATTGACTGTATATTTGTGAGCGACAAGCATTGTTTCAGCAGTATTTCCACCGCAGTTCCATGTATTAGAATCAAACATGTGAAACCCATCACTGTATTCCATTTGGATTATTGTAGTGATTATTAGTAGTGAAACACTAATGGTGTGTGTGAGGTGGCGGTGAGGCAGAGGTTGGCGTGTGGGTGATGGTGAGGCTGGGTGTGGGTGATGGTGAGGGTGGGTGATGGTGAGGGTGGGGGAGTGGGAGAGGTGGGGGAGTGGGTGATGGTGAGTGGGGGAGTGGGTGATGGTGAGGGTGGGGGAGTGGTGGGTGGAGGGTGGGGGGGGAGGTGGGGTGATGGTATGGTGAGGGTGGGGGAAGTGGGTGATGGTGAGGGTGGGGGAGTGGGTGATGGTGAGGGGGGAGTGGGGTGGAGGGTGGGGGAGTGGGGTGATGGGTGGAGGGTGATGGTAGGTGGGGTGGATGGGTGAGGTGAGGGTGGGGACAATTGTCTGTTGTTGTATAAATGGAGCTTTAGAGTTTTGTTTCTTCAGAAATCAGTGGCAGATGTGGTTTCAGTTTCATTTCTGGTGCACACTGCAGTCCTTGTAACCTTGTAACCAGGAGATTATAGTTCCTTTTCCACAGGGAGGGTTTTAGTGACAGGAACTCACATTGTTATTTTATTCTATATTTGCCCCCCCCTCAGGGCACTGTCTGATGGAGGATGTGAGGACAGCATTAAATGGCAAAGATGGCATTTAGTCGCCTCTTGTGATCAGTGTTAAATGTGACCGGACGCTCTTTGTCCCCGGACACAGGCGTCCAGAGGCACTTCTGTGGGTTTGTGCTGAGCTTCCATGCTCATTCTGACCATGTTGTGTGACACACACTCTCGCCCTCATCCAGTTATGCTGCACACTCAGCTCTTTATGCCATCAGCTCTCTCCAGATTCCCTCCACCTGCCTTGGCCCATTTCCTCCCTCTCTGTCATTTTCACACCTGAAGACCTTCCTCCTGGACCGTACCTACGTTACCTCCTCCCTCCCCCCCCCCCCCCCCCCCCCCGCTCAGTGTCAGGCTCCACCAATCTTAAGCACTCCCTCTAAAAGGACAGGCTCTGACTCTCGCTGCCTATAAAAAAGATAATAATTTGGTCACTCAATCCATGACTGTTTGTGGGACGCTGCTGTACACAATTGGCTGCCACATTGCGCCCACAAATATGCAGTCTTCCAATATATGCACTTTACAGTGTATTCTGTGAAGTGCTTTGAGACGTCTCGAAGAGTGATAAGGCTCTGTATCAAATGCAAGTATTATAGATTACTATAGACCGAGAGGAAGTTCTGAAAAGATTGACTGGGCTCAAAATTGATAAGTCACCAGGACCAGATGGGTTTCACCCAAGGTGCTGTGGGAGATACGGGTTCAAATAGCGGAGGCTTTGGCCATTATATTTCAATCGTCATTGGACACAGGAGTGGTGCCAAGAGACTGGAGAGTGGCTAATGTTACCCCACTCTACAAAAAGGGGCAGAAAGACAAGCCCGGAAATTACAGGCCAGTCAGCCTAACCTCGGTAATAGGAAAGCTACTGGAGACCGTAATCCGGGACAAAATAAATCTCTACTTAGAGGAACACGAGGTAATTAGAGACCCCCAACATGGATTTGTTAAAGGCAAATCTTACCTAACAAATCTAATAGAATTTTTTGAAGAGGTGACTGCGAGGGTTGACGAGGGAAATGCGGTGGACATTATTTACATGGATTTTAAAAAGACTTTTGACACAGTACCGCATAAGAGGTTAATAAAAAAACTGGCGGCCCACGGTATTAAGGGGACAGTAGCCGTTTGGTTTAGGAACTGACTGAGTGACAGAGAGCAGAGGGTGGTAGTTAATGGGTGTTTCTCGCAATGGAAGGAGGTGTGCAGCGGTGTCCCCCAGGGATCGGTATTGGGACCACTGCTCTTTCTAATATATTAATGATCTGGACTTGGGCACAGGGAGCACTATTTCCAAGTTTGCAGATGATACCAAGTTAGGTCGGGTAGTAAATAGTGAAGAAGATTGTGACGGACTGCAGGCAGACATACACAGAATGGTGGAATGGGCTGACATGTGGCAGATGGATTTCAATGTGGATAAGTGTGAGTTGATACACTTAGGTAGGAAAAATGATAGGAGGCAATATAGACTTGGAGCTCAATCTTAAGGGGGTGAACGTACAGAGAGATCTGGGCGTTCAAGTAAGCGAATCATTAAAGGTAGTGGGACAGGTAGATAAGGCAGTAAAAAAGGCATTTGGTGTACTGAGCTTCATTAGTAGGGCATAGAGTATAAGAGTATAGGGGTTATGGTTAATCTATACAAAACACTGGTTAGGCCTCAGCTGGAGTACTGCGTCCAGTTCTGGGCACCTCACCTCAGGAAGGATATTAAGGCACTGGAAAGGGTGCAGAGGAGATTCACGAGAATGATACCAGGAATGGGGAACCTTAGCTATGAGCACAGGCTGGAAAAGTTAGGACTTTTCCTATTAGTGCAGAGAAGGTTACGCGGGGACCTGATAGAGGTCTTCAAGATCATGAAAGGTTTTGACAGGTGAGATAGGGAAAAGCTGTTTCCGCTGGTAGGTGTGTCTGTGACTCGTGGTCACAGTCTGAAGATATCTACCAAAAGAAGCAGAGGGGAGGTTAGAAGAAATGTTTTCACTCAGTGAGTTGTTAGAATTTGGAATGATCCGCCCGAAAGGGCAGTAAAGTCCTATTCGATAACAGCTTTTAAGAGAGAACTGGACAGGTATCTGGAGAAGACAGGTTTGCAGGGTTATGGGGAGAAAGCTGGTGAGTGGGGTTAATAAGTCAGTTGCTCTGTCAAAGAGCCGCACAGACTCGATGGGCCGAATGGCCTCCTTGTGCCGTAACATTCTCTGATTCTATGAGTCTATGTTTATTATTATTATCCACCTTTCACTACGCCACGCCCCGTATCTCCCACAGCACCTTGGGTGAAACCCATCTGGTCCTGGTGACTTATCAATTTTGAGCCCAGTCAATCTTTTCAGAACTTCCTCTCGGTCTATAGTAATCTATAATCCTTGCATTTGATACAGAGCCTTATCACGTCTTCGAGACGTCTCAAAGCACTTCACAGAATACACTGTAAAGTGCATATATTGGAAGACTGCATATTTGAGGGCGCAATGTGGCAGCCAATTGTGTACAGCAGCGTCCCACAAACAGTCATGGATTGAGTGACCAAATTATTATCTTCAAGCAGTTGATGGGCAGCTCACAGCTGGAGCCTCAGAGATCCCCTCAGGCCGCCTGGGTGTAAGCAGGAGCGGAGACAGGACCCTGAACCTGTGCAATCGCATGTGGCTCCAAGCGGATCCAGTGATCAGATTTACACAGTCACTACACTTTACAGACATTGTAAAATACGCCACTATATTAAATATAAGGGTTAATACAATAAAGAAAAATCCTTACATTTAATACAGAGCCTTATCGTGTCTTCTGGACATCTCAGAGCACTTCACAGAATATACTGTAAAGTGAATTGACTATATTTTGTGGGCGAACGCAGCAGCCAATTGCGCACAGCAGCGTCCCACAAACAATGGTCGAAGGGTTTATCATCTCCAGGAAAACGATCCGCCAACGGAATGTCAACAAGGTTCCTACTTACTACTACATCAACAGAGGTGTGTGGAGGAAGGAAACCTGCCCAACGTTTAGCCTTGTGTGGGAATTGAACCAGGTCTTCTCGCTTGCGAGGCGAGTTCTCTAACCACTAAGCTACAGGACTCCATTATTTTATTTGAAATAATTCTGACAATCAGAGAATTGATGAAAAAGGTGGAAGCATTCTTAAACTGTGCTGAGTGACAAGGAACTCAGAACAGAAGGAACCATTTAATGTGTGTGTAACCCTGCACTTAGTGGTATAAAATCCAAAAGTCCAGGAGATAAACACACTCTTAAAGTGCAGTGAAAACGTTGACTTGAGCAACACAATGGGAGGTATAAAGCTTTAATTCCATGAAAAGCATACCAATACAATGATTCCGTACTTTGATTGGAAGCGTTACAAGAACACTTTCCTAAATCCTTTTGAAGACCTTGATCACAAACAATCATTGAGCTCTGTATATCATTCACAAAGCAAACCCAAGCAAAAGTCCTGAAAGAAGAAAAAGTCCACACAGTCAAGATGATCTTCAACGTCAAACACAAAACACAAAACCTCAAGTAAGCTTGCAGTTCCTTGATCAGCCATTGTGCACAGTGTGACCTGTTAGAATTGGAAAGATGTACACCTGGTCATTCCTGTAATGTGTAAATGTAGCTTTACGCAGTCACTCCACTTTACAATATATTCTGTGAAGCGCTTTGAGACGTCTCAACGATGTGATAAGGCGCTATATCAAATGCAAGGATTGTCGTTATTTCTGTTGGGAGTGCAGGAGTAACGTTGACATTAGACTTAGCAACTCCATATAATGGGATCGGATGATTGGCTTTGCAACATAATACAAATTTGCATTTATATACCACCTTTCACATCAGGGGGACGTCCCAAAGCGCTGGAGAGTTGAGGGGTTGCCCCCGAGGTGAGGGTTGGTTGGTGGGTGTGGGGGACGGAGGAGGGGGCAACAAGGAATGTGTTTAGACGGCCCTTAAAGGAGGTGAGGGAAGGGGTGAGGCTGAGGGACTGCGAGATGGAGTTCCAGAGAGTGGGGCAGACACGCTGACTGCTGATGGTGGGGTGCGTGGGGATGTGAAGCAGGCCGGTACCTGCTGAGCGGAGGGAGCGACCAGGTTAGTACTGTTTGTTGTCGTGTGAAAAGCTTGAATATCAACATCTAAATTCCCAAATAGCAATCAGAGGCAGTTATAGGTGAAGCTTGACATTTACAGCCACACTGGAATGTCACTTTTATCCCAATCACAAGGAACAGAGTCACTGCTCAATGGTGACTCGAGAACAACCAGGAATACAAGTTACATCTCAGTCTCTGTGCTGTATTCTTTACAACGATTTAAGATTCTTTAGTCACTGTCAAAAGCCTTTTTAATACCGTAGCCAGTCGCAGCCCCTACTGTCCCGACCACAGCACTGCCAGCAGCTGAGAGTCCAGCCGCTCCTTCAGGGGGAGAAAGAAGAAAAAATCGACTTTTTAGTGATAATTTATCAATTCCAATAAAGTTAATACTTTCCCTCAATTCATTTCTAAACTTAGCTAAAATGAGGGGTGTAGGCACAAGCCCCACGTCGAGACTCTCAAGTTGTGTCTAGGCTTAGGCTCTTGTTCAGAACGGGGGACTGGATACCTGACCAGTTGAAAATGGTTCTACTGGAGGGGTATATAAATGGGAGACTTGTGTGAGCCTCACTCGTGCAGAGAGCCCAACGGAGTGAGGGCTGAACAACAGGTGAGAGTAGGAATTCAATGCCGAGGGGGAAGGAGGTGCAGTGTAGACGCCTTTCATGTCGGGAGAACGTCCCAACGCGCTCCACATCTTCTCTCTGAAATCACTCTCCTCCCCCATTCCTGTCTCACCTCCTCTCTCTCTCTCTCTCTCAAACCCTTATTTATCAGGCTGGATCTGTCGAACCTGATGAATTAGACTCTGAGCGCTATCCCCTCTCTCTCCCCCCGGAGCTGTCTCTCCCAGTCCCCTCCATGCCCTGCTAATCGCTCCCTCCAGGTCTCTCGGCGTACGCATTTTGGCTGCCGCCCCCCAATTCGAAATCCGCCCTTAAAATGACCACATTTCTCCTCCCCCACCCACCCACTAGTCGACCTCTGTCCTTCTCTCCCACCACCCTCCTCGCACACTCCTCTCTCTTAGACTCTCTGCCATCGGCCTCCGAAATGTCCGCTTCCTCTCAAACGAAGCCCTCGCCATCCATGACCTCATCCTGGATTGAGGATATCGACATCCTAGAGTTCACAGAAACCTGGCTGTCCCCCGATGACCTGTCCCCTCATCGAAGCCTCACCCCCTCCCCCACCGGCTACACTTTCCCCGACACCCCCGCCTCAACTGTCGCGGTGATGGGGTGGCGCTCATCTCTAAACCTCCTTTGTTCTATCCCCCTACTCCTCCCGCGCCTAAAGACCTTTTCGATCATGCTGAAGGATACCTCCCCCCGCCCCCTCCCTCTCCCCTTGGCTCGTTGTCAGACTCCGCCACTGTGAAGCGCCCCCATGAAGGGCGCAATATAAATGTAAGTTGTTGTTGTCTAAGCTGATGCTCCAATGCAGCGCTGGGCGCAGGTTGCATTATCGGACGTACCGTCCTTTGGATGAGGCGTTAAACCTGGTCTTCACCTTCAAAGGCTTCCATGATCTTGCTCCCCACTCTGTGACCCCCTACCACCCTGTTTGCTCCCTCTGCTCAGTGGGCTCCGGCCTGCTTCACATCTCCCGCCTCGCCCACCCCCTATTGGCAGGCGGGCCTTCAGCCACTCTGCCCCCACCCTCTGGAACTCCATCCCGCAGTCCCTCTGCCTCGCCGCACTCCATTTCCTCCTTCAGGTCTCGTATCAAGACCCTCCTCTTCGACCATCCCTTCGGTCACCCTCCTTCTCCCCTGCCCTCCCATATCCGATCCCGACTCCCAGCTCGGGTCTGAAACACCTATTGTCCAGCACCTTGGGACATCCTCCCAACGTGGAAGGTGCTCTACAAATGTAATTTTGTTGTTGTTTTAGGGCTTGTTTGCAACTGCTAAACTTCCAACAAGAGACCTTGGTGAATTATGAGTATGGCTTCCTGAACGACTCTGCTAAAAACAGCTCCATGGTAATTCTGACATAACTCACACCACTTTTCAGGTAAAACTAGCAAACTCTGCACTATAATGGCAATGTTAGCCATCCCCACACCTGATGTAAACCGAGGTCCGATCTGTCTGTTCAGGTGGACATTAAAGATCCTGTGGCACTATTTGAAAAGAGAAGGGAGTTTCTTCCGGTGTCCGGTGTCCTGGCCAACAATGCCCCAAATAAAATTGGTCACTCACTCCACGGCTGTTTGTGGAACACTGTTGTGCACAAATGGCTGCCGCGTTTTGCCCACAAATTACAATCAATGCATTTTCCAGTGTGTTCTGTGAAGTGCTTTGACACGTCTCGATGATTTGAAAGGCGCTAGATCAAATGCAAGAATTATTATTATTACCTGCAGACTGTAGGACAGCCACCAAACCACCTGCTGCTATTCCTCCTCCATTGGCTATGGCAGCCGCTGACATGGTTTTCGCTGCTATGGATCCTGCTACAATTCCAGCACCAGTGAAGCCAGCAGCACCGAGCACCACTGGAGCAGCCACCACTGCAACAACTGTGTGAGAGAGAGAGAGAGAGAGAGAGAGAGATATAGAGAGAGGAGAACAAGAGTAGAGAGAGAAAGAAGCAAGAGTAAAGAGAGTGAGTGACAATATAGCACTTTCACGTCTTCTAGATGTCTCAAAGTGCTTCACAGAATATGCAGTAAAGTGAATTGACAGAATACTTTGGGTGAAAGAGAGCGAGACAAGGCTTGTACAAGGGATAGACTGGGACAATAATAAAAAATAACCCTTATATTTGATACAGGGCCTTTCACATCAGGAGGACATCTCGACCCCCGAGATTATCAGCTGAACAGAGCATTAAGGCTTCACCTGTCTATGCCTCCCAGGATCAACAGTCAGTAATTTGGTTAATGGCTGTATTACTGGCTGTGCCTTCTAACGAAGCCAACCAGGAGATGTTCACCTACTGCCAGGAGTTGTGCATCCATGCTTGCACACTCCACCTTCTAAGCCAGTCTGGAACCTTGACATCTCGCTGGACCCCCAACTTTCCTTCCTACCCCACATCCATGCCATGTGCCGCTCTGCCTTCCCCCACCTCCATGACATTGCCCGGCTCCACCACTGTCTCACACCACAGGCCCCAAGACTCTCATACACATATTCATAACATCCAGGCTCGACTACACAAACTCACCGCTTGTCGGCCTCCCCAATTCCTCCCTCCATAGGCTGCAAATCATCCAGAACTCTGCAACCCGTGTCCTCTCCCGCACCAGGCTCAGCGACCCTATCACCCCCAACCTCGCCCGACTCCACCGGCTTCCCATCACACAGAGGATACAGTTCAACATCTTGGTCTTGCTTCCCCTACCTCTGAGATCTTCTATCCCCCACCAGCCTGTTGTTTCCTCTGCTCAGCGGGTTCTGGCCTGCTTCACGTCACCAGCCTCACTTGCCCGAAGATTGACCTTCTGCCACTCTGCCCCCATCCTCTGGAACTCCATCCTGCAGTCCCTCCGCCTCGCCCCCTCCCTTGCCTCCTTCAACACCAGTCTAAAGATCCTCCTCTTCGACTGTGCCTTCGATCATCCTCCTTTCCCCCCTACCCTCCACCCTCCCCGATCCCGACCCCCAGCTCGGGTCTGAACTTGAACACTGATTGTCCAGTGCCTTGGGACATCCTCCTGACATGAGAGGCATAATACAAATGTAATTCTGTTTTGCTTGTGAACTTATAGACTTTGACATTGTCATTACAGTAATATTGCTGTACATGAGCATTATAGCAAATGTAGTTTATTGTAGTCCTACCCGTTGTAACTATGGTATTGAACTAACAATTTTTTTCTGTGGTATTAAGTAACAAGCTTTAAAATATAAAATGCAAGTGATTTTGGCTCCTCACGGGTTCCTGATATAAATTTTGGCTAACAGAACAAGCTGCTGTTTTCCAGTCACAGCTGTGTCCCAGATGATAACAGTGAGGTTAACTCCACTACTAACCGTACCTTCCAATCCAACACCCCTTCTCACACATCTTTTCAGTTGCCCTCTGGATTCTGTCCCAACCACTGCTCCTGGAAGCTGACGCGTTAGCCAAGACTAAACGAGAACCTACAATCCTCTGACTCATGCAGTGAGAGTGCTCCCACTGAGCCAGACCAATAGCTAGTGAGCTGCTGTTGCAGGTTTATAAAGCGATTCCCCATTACATTAATACGTCACTGAAAAAGATACTTCGGTTAACATCCCTCAGGGAATAAAATGTTTTAAACCGCCCAACGATGACATGTGACTGGCAGGAATAGTGGTCGGTCAAACCCCAGTTGGAAGGGTTTGTATCTGATGCCGAGGGTCAAGATTGGAAAAATGTTCTTTTCCCCACATCTGGAAAAGGACAAAGATCCATTTAGATAAAAATGCCATATCTTTGTGCCAACTTTCTCTGTGTTCAGTGAGGAAATCAAAACAACCCCAAATTATACGATTTTGAAGCCAAAAGCTACACAATGCCTGAGGTTGCATTGGATGTACGTGTTGGTAACCAGCAAATGGGGAGATTCAGAGAATATTCTTTCCTCACAGAGCTGTTGGGATGTGGTTAGGGCAACAACCTACATTTGAATAATGCCCTTCACGTCGGGAGGACGTCCCAAGGTGCTGGACCGTCAGGGATTTGAACCCGAGCAGGGGGTTGGGATCAGGGAGCGGTGGAGGGTGGCTGAAGGCACGGTCAAACGGGAGGGTCTTGAGATGTACTTTGAAGGAGGTAACGGAGGGAGCAAGGTGAAGGGACTGTGGGATGGAGTTCCAAAGGGTGGAGGCAGAGAGGCAAAAGGCCCGACCATCTACGTTAGCTTTCAGGCGGAAACGGATAGACGTGGGGGTGGAGAGGCAGGTACACGGGACAGCGGGAAGCAATCTTTGGGGAGACAGTGCAGACACGATGCGCCGAGCGGCCTGATTCTGCGCTGTGGATATCTGTGGTGACGGTTAATATCCTACCTGCTCCTCCTGCAGTCCACAGAGCTGTAGCGCTCCAAAGTGCGGATCCTGGGGACAATAAAAAGACTTTCAACTCATCTGATGTTAAGCAACAGAGCGATTGAATCGGCAGCAGTCAAAATTAAACATTTTATCGTGCCAATCAGGATGTTATTAAGTGGAGTTTGCTCTTTGCTCTCAGTCAAGACAGCATAACTTTGTATCGCTATTTATATAAACCGTTTATTATTAAAGAGTTGACTATTTCCATCCTGGAATCCCTCCACTCGCTCACTCACTCCATCCTGCATTCAAACACCATCTCAAGACTTATTGTCGACCGCACCTTTCATCATCTTTCCCCTGACCACCCTCCTTACTGCCCTCCCCAGCTCGGCTGCCAACTCCTCCAATCATCCCGGTTCCTAAAGTGTGCGGGAACCTCAGATGCTGGGAATGGCTGCTGGCTTCCTCAGGTCTCCAGGCCTCACCTGTGTGGAAGCAAGCGGACACGATGAGCAGGATGTAGACCCGGTGCCACATTTTTCAGTCCTTTCAAGAAGTGGTTCAGTGAGATCTGGTCGAGGCTGTGACCACACGACCTGCACAAACAGCAGCAATGATTTCAGGCTGACATTACCAGCAAAGACCCAAACCAGCTCCTCAAGCACTCATCCCACCACTGGCTTTGTAACCTCTGCTGAGTTGGAGAAGCATTAGTTAGTACTCCAAGTACTCCATTGTTCCCCTCCCCACTCCAACCGTTTGAAAACCTCAAGGGGCGTATGAGTGTCATTGCTGTCTGTCACGCGCAAGAATTCTGTTTTTCAAGCTTCACAATAAATTGCCAACATTCTTATGTATTGAAGCTAAATGTCACTGGCAGAGCTGGTTTTGATTCTGTGACGTGAAGAAACCAAAACTGAAACACAAGGGTTTGTTCAGGAAAGAAAACACGCTATACAAATGCTGTTTTTGTTTTTGGAGTTGTATCTTGTATTGTTGCAGTTCTTCTATTCTTTTATTTTGCTTTTTGCCTTTTCCGATATTGCTGGAATGTCACGAACCTTGGAACAGTCGAGGCTAAATGTTCTGAGCCACAGAGCAAGAGAAGAGATACCCTCACTCTCACCAGCTCAGCCAAACACTCAGACGAGCAACTCTGACTGAACACAGTGTAACTTAGCGACACCTCTATTATAATTGTCTTTTTGTTAAACATCAGGATGGTCCGTGCGAGTCTGTACGTTCTCACCCACCTGAGAGCTGTTTTCAGGCTGGTTTAAACAAGCTTGGCCTTGGCCTTGAGTACTATCGGTGGTCGGGCCTTCAGCCTCTCAGCCCCCAGGCTCTGGAACTCCATCCCCCAGTGCCTTCGCCTTGCTTCCTCCCTTTCCTCCTTCAAGGCCGGTCTCAAAACCTTTCTCTTTGACCGTGCCTTCAGCTCCCCTCTCGACTCTCTTCCTCCTCCTCGCTCCCTCCCTTCCCTCCCCTCACCCTGACCATTTCCCCCTCCTCTCTCCCTCCCTTCCCTCCCCTCACCCTGACCATTTCCCCCCAATGCTCGGGTCATGACCCAACTGTGCAGCGCCTTGGGACGTCCTCCTGACGTGAAAGGCGCTCTATAAATGGAATCTTGTTGTTGTTGTTGTTGTTGAGTATGTGACCCATCAGCTGATTCTAACTAAAATAGGAGCATTACATCAACAACTAACAAGAAAGCTGGTGCTGTAACAAACACACTGCTTACTGCTGAACCAATTTAACTCTTGTTTCTAAGAAGTTCCCCGTCAGTTGCTGATCTCAGTCGGGAAGGTATTAAGAGGTGCTAGTGGGAGTCCAGACATTGCCTCACACAGGGGAGTAACAGAGAGAGAATGAGCCTGGGATTATCAACCCACACACCCGGAGGCCAGTCACTGAGGCCAGTCAGGATCAAGTCACCATTTGGGCCAGATATTGCCCAGAGAGAGAAAATACAAATGGCTAAAATTGAGAGGCTCCCGACTTGGACAAGGGCTTCGGCTGCATTTGGGGCAAGGTACAGTTGGAGACGGGCAATGTGGGAGAGGTGGAGGAAGACTGTCCTGGTCAGGGACTGCATGTGGGGAGGGAAGGACAACTGAGGGTCTAAACGGATGCCTAGATTGTGCACTGGTTTGGTGAGTGTGAGGAGGAGCCCAGGGAGGTTGAGGAGTTCAGATCTGCAGGAGTGAAGACGTTGACGGGAGCCAAGGAGTATGGCTTCCGTCTTGTCGACATTCAGCTGCAGGAAGTTCATCCAGGCCCTGATGTCTGCCAGACAAGCTGATGAACATCGGGGGGACCTGGAGCTGGTGCTGGAGGAGGCAAAGTAGATTTGTGTGTCACCGCAAACATGTGAAGTTTACCGTGTCTGTGGATAACATCACCCAGAGGGAGCATGGAGATAAGGAAAAGAAGAGGCCAAGGATGGAGCCCTGCGGTTGTGAGCGAGAGAGTGTGTGTGGGTGAGAGAAGGAGAGAGAGAGGGCCTGAGAGAGAGAGTGTCTTCCCCCATCTTCCTCTCTGTCTCCCCCCCGACCTGCCTCTCTTTCTCTGCCACTCACCCCTTCTCTTTCCCCTTTTTCGTCCCCTTTCCCCCTCTTTCTGCTACTCCCTCTTTCCTACTCCGCTCCGTACTCTTCCCCACCACCTCCTCTCCCTCCTTCACTTTTCCGCTCCCCTCTCCCCCCCTCACCCTTCTCCCCCCCTCACCCTTCTCCCCCCTCATCCCTCTCTCCCCCCCTCATCCCTCTCTCCCCCACTCCCCCCTCTCTCCCCGACTCCCCCCTCTCTCCCCCACTCCCCTCTCTCCCACTCCCCCCTCTCTCCCCTCACCCCCCTCTCCCCCCACTCCCCCGACTCCGCCCTCACCCCCCTCCTCCTCTCCCCTCTCTCTCCCCCACTCTCCCCTCACCCCCAGTCCCCCTCACCCCCCTCATCCCCCATTCCCCCCTCACCCCCCTCCTCCTCTCTCCCGCCACTCCCCCACTCTCCCCTCTCTCCCCCCTCACCCCCACTCCCCCCTCACCCCTCTCCCCCCCCCTCCCTCTTCTGTTTTCATTCTATGACGAGAGGAAAATAAAACTGAAACTCGATGGTTTGCTCAGGAATGAAAACACTCAATGGTTTGTTTTGGCTCATGTTACACCACTCAGTGAGTATATAACCCTGAGCTCACAGCCCACATCTGCTCTCTGACACCGCACACATCGACAGCCACCCCAGGGAGGATTGCCCACCGCTTCAAGGTACGCAGTCACTACACCTTCTAGTGAATCCTGGGATGTGATTTAAGAGGTGCACCTAGACACTGTATCAAATGTAAATTTATTATTTTTACTTACAACTTAGCAGCAATCACTGACGTGTGCATATTACGGTAAAGTTAGTGACATTTATCGAAAATCACAGCAAAAAAATGAACTTATCCACATCTCGGTTCAGCTCAGCCCAGCTCAGCCCAGCTCAGCTCAGCTCAGCTCAACCCAGCTCAGCTCAACCCAGCTCAGCCCAGCTCAGCCCAGCTCAGCCCAGCTCAGCTCAACCCAGCTCAGCTCAGCTCAGCCCAGCCCAGCTCAGCCCAGCCCAGCTCAGCCCAGCTCAGCCCAGCTCAGCCCAGCTCAGCCCAGCTCAGCTCAGCCCAGCTCAGCCCAGCTCAGCCCAGCTCAGCTCAGCCCAGCTCAGCCCAGCTCAGCTCAACCCAGCTCAGCTCAGCTCAGCTCAACCCAGCTCAGCTCAGCCCAGCTCAGCCCAGCTCAGCCCAGCTCAGCTCAGCTCAGCCCAGCTCAGCTCAACTCAGCTCAGCCCAGCTCAGCCCAGCTCAGCTCAGCTCAGCCCAGCTCAACCCAGCTCAGCTCAGCTCAGCCCAGCTCAACCCAGCTCAGCTCAGCTCAACCCAGCTCAGCTCAGCCCAGCCCAGCTCAGCTCAGCTCAACCCAGCTCAGCCCAGCTCAGCTCAGCCCAGCTCAGCTCAGCTCAACCCAGCTCAGCCCAGCTCAGCCCTGGCTCAACCCAGCTCAGCTCAGCTCAGCCCAGCTCAGCTCAGCCCTGGCTCAGCTCAACTCAGAGGGTGGGGGGTTGATGGATGCTGTGTGGAGGGGGGTCGCTGGGGGATCCTGGATTTACAATGCTTGCTGCACTCCCACTACCCCCTCTCTCCGCCTCAGTACACAGTGTGAATGTGATGAGACTGAGAGCGGACACTCACCGGCTCTGCCCCCGGCTCACACACCAGGTCCAGAGAGGACAGGAGATGATTCTGGAGGGCAAACCCCCCCAGAGGCTGGAGTGTGTTTAGTGAAGGGAGTTTCTCTGTGTGTCCGACCCCCACGGAAAATCAGTCATTCTCTTTATAACTATTTACTGGACATTGCTGCCACATTCACCTACAAGATACATACCTTCCTATAAATATTGTAAAGCACTTTGAGACATCCGGCTAACGTGAAAGGTGCAGTATCACATATGAGGATTATTAATATTATATTTTACAGAAAGGATCGTTAGTGTGTGCAGGGCGAGAGGGAAAGATTCCCTGTAATAGTATTCACCTGCCTCCAGAATGGCCCAGCAAGCACTCAGCCTCTTTATTATGTATCTCCTATTTTCATCCACATTTGCAAAGGCAGGTAAGTGGATCGTTCTCTATTAAATATGACAGGATTAATGTGCTTTATCAACTGTTGATAGCAATCAGATAAATGGACAGAGCAACGGAAACCCAGCAGTGATCTGGAGCTGTCATTGAGGTAAGGACTAGATTGCCCAGAGAGACTATGAAGCACCACAGTGAGGTGTGACCAGGTCATCTACACTGTTTGAGCCACTGAGAGGCTGTTAGCCTTTGGGAACAATCAAACAGAGCTTCTTTCTTTAATTATTCCTGTGGTCTTTTGTCAGGAAAATTATTCCGGTCACACTTTGGTTGTGGCTTTGTATCTGACCTCTCCTCCCTCTCTCTCTCCTACTTCTCCCCCCAACCCCACTTGTCACCCAGCTGGGGTTTGCACTCTGTGAAACACTTTGAGACAGAGCTGCCATGTGTATCATAGAATCTTGCAGCACAGAACGAGGTCATTTGGCCCATTGTGCCTGTACCTGACTCTTTGAAAGAGCTACCAACTAGTCCCAGTCCCCTGCTCTTACCCCATAGCCCTGCATATTTTTCTTTTCAAGTTACCTGTCCAATTCCCTTTTGAAAGCTATTATCAAATCTGCTTCCACCAGCCTTTCAGGCAGTACCATCCAGACCATAACAACTCTCTGAGTAAAAAAAACTTCTCCTTGTCTTCCCTCTGGTTCTTTTGCAACTGTAAGTTTTTGATGTAAACTTGAAATGTATTATAATGTTACCAGCTAACAGGAATACAACCTTCAAGCACGGGTACTGAACCCTTCTTTAGTGATTTACAAATGAAGGAGGTATGTGAGCAGCATCTCAAGGTAGAGGATGACAGTAACCCTGCACCAACATCTCCCCACCACAGCGGGGGCGACAGTGAGATTGACTGACCTGAAAACCTCTCCAATGTAATAAATGAATGAGAAAAATAATAATAATCCTGGCATTTGATACAGCGCCTCATCACGTCTTCGAGATGTCTCAAAGGATATGCTGTAAAGTGAATTGCTCCCAGCAGTGTCCCACAAACAGTATAACGGATGGCTTGTCAGAGGGCAGCCTGCTTGTGGCTTACAAAATCTACTTTCTCTCATTTTACAGAAGAGGATGAAGAAGGCTCCTGTGGGATAATGGATGCCCTTCCATATATGGTCATTGGCGCAGGTACAAACTTCATCCCCTCCTGTGGTTGTCGTGGTGATAAAGATGGATGTGAGGTTCATTCTGAAAGTAAACCACAGGAACATGTACACAAGCAAAACCAAACCCCATCTGGTCAATTATTGCCCCGGGTTTGTAATGAGTCTCCATGTTCTGTGCATGTGATACTTTGACAAAACATGAGTGCTTCACAGGCTATCACCGTCAGGCTGTAGAATCAAAGAATCATAGAATTATATAGCACAGAGGGAGGCCATCGGCCCATCGTGTCTGTGTCGGCTCATTGAAAAGAACTTCCAAATCAACCCCACTCCCCCTCTCTCTCCCCATAGCTCTGCAAACTTGTCCTCCCCAAATAATTATCTTAGGCTGTGCCCACAACTATGGATTTGTAAGAAAATTCAGCAGCCAATTTGCATACAGTAAGGCACCTATACAGCCAGGAGGCAAATGATACATTTATCTGGCAGTTTCTTGGCCCGAACACTGGGAGAAACTCCCTGATCCACAGGATCTGTTAGTATCCACCTGAACCTTGGTTGAAACAACAAAACAATGGCAGCCAGGGCAATGCAGAGCTCCTGCAGCACCGCACTGGAGTCTTAGCCTGGACCGCGGTTCAAGTCTCAACATGAAGCTTGAACCCAGAGCTGACAATTTGTAACTATATTGGAAAGAAAGAACAATCTGTCAGCCTGGCTCAGTGTGTGTGTCAACAACAACAACATGGATTTATATAGCGCCCTCCACGCCTGACAGCGTCTCAGAGCGCTTTACAGTAACGGATCCCGGGGCCGAGCCAGGGGGAGGGGCCGGGGGGAGGGGCCAGGGGGAGGAGCCAGGGGGAGGGGCCAGGGGGAGGAGCCAGGGGGAGGGGGAGGAAGGTCGAAGAGAAAGGTCTTCAGCAGAGACCTAAAAATGGGAATGGAGGGAACGAGACGAAGGGAGTGAAGAAGGGAGTTCCAGAGCCTCGGGGCATAATGGCTGAAGGCACGGCCGCCGAGGGTGGAGCGGATGACTCGGGGGTACGAGGAGGAGGCCAGACCCGGAGGAACGAAGGCAATGGGTACTGTTTTGAGGAGAGAGGAGGTCAGAGAGGTCGGGGGGTGCAGAGGAGTGCAGGGCCTTGAATACAAGGGTGAGGATCTTGAAGTCGATCCTCTCTGGGACAGGCAGCCAGTGCAGTCTGACCAGGACTGGGGGATCGGGGAGTGGGGTTTGGGTGTGGGGGTGGGGGAGGGCCAGGACTGGGGGGATTGGGGAGTGGAGTTTGGTGCGGGTGAGAATGTGGGCGGCAGAGTTCTGAATGAGTTGGATTTTATGGATGGTAGTGGAGGGGAGGCCGGCGAGGAGTAGTCCAGCCGAGAGGTGACAAAGGCCTGGACCAGGGTTTCAGCAGCTTTCGGAGAAAGGTATTGGCGGAGGCGGGTGATGCGTTGGATGTGGAAGAAAGCGGTGCTGGTGAGGGACCGGATGTGGGGGAGGAAGGATAACCTGAAGCCTAGATTGCATACGGGTTTGGAGAGATTTAGGGGGAGGTCGGGTTGGTGGAGGCGATGAGAGCCGTGAGATTTTAGACGTTGGCAAGAGCCAAAGAGTATGGCTTCCATCTTGTCAACATTCACCTGAAGGAAATTTGCGCTCATCCAGCTACTGAGGTCTGACAGGCAGCTGACAGAACATCAGGGGACTGGGGGTCGCAAAGAGAGGTGGAAAAGTAGAGGTTGGGTGTCGTCCGCGTACATGTGGAAGTGTACCTCATGTCTGTGGATGACATCCCCAAGAGGGAGCATATAGATTAGGAAGAGAAGGGCCCCAAGGATGGATCCAGATGAGAGTTAGAGGAAAAGCCGTTTGTGGAGATGTACTGCTGGCGGTTTGTGAGGTAGGACTGAGGCGGATGATGGAGGAAAAGCAGTGGAGGAGGATGGCGTGATCGACTGTGTCGAAAGCGGCGGAGAGGTCCAGGAGGACAAGGAGGCAAACGGAGCCCTGGTCACAGATAGAGAGGATGTCGTTTGAGAGTTTCACAAGCGCAGTCTCTGTACTGTGGGCAGTGCGGGAAACCGGACTAGAAGGGGTCGAAGAGGGAATGGGAGGAGAGGTGAGCGTGGAGTTGATTGGCAACAACGAGTTCTAGGACTTTGGCGAGGAAGGGGAAGTTTGAAATAGGGTGGCAGTGGCTGGGGTTTGAGGGTTCTAGGGAGGGTGATGACAGCAGTTTTGAGGGGGCAGGGACTGATCCAGAGGAGAGGGACTGATTGATGACATCAGCCAGTAGTGGGCAGAGGAGGGGGAGCTGGTTGACCAGCAAGATGGTGGGGAGGGGGGGTCGAGGCAGCAGATGGTGGGTTTCATCGAAGTGATGGTGGGTGAGAGAGAGGAGGGAGAGATGGGGAGGCAGGAATGTAGGATAGGGGTCATGGTAGGAGCTGATGATGGGGCGGGTGAGGGGGACGGAGAGGGTGTGGTGGTGGGTGACAAGACGCAGGAGGATGAGGCTGCCTGGTGGATGTTATGTATTTTGGATGAAAAGAAGTCCATGACCTCCTCGCACGTGGCATTTGATGTGAAGATTGAGGTGGCCTGAGGGGGCGCATGGAGGAGGTAGTGGGTCGTGGGGGAAAAAAAGACTTTAGGGTTCTTTTTTGCCTCCAGATGATGTTGGAGTAGAAGGCCGTTTTTGCACGCGTCAAAGAACAGCGGTCGCTGTGGAGATGCTCGAGCCACAGTTGGTGGTGAACTGTCAGGCCAGTTTTCTGCCATCTGCGCTCGAGCAGCCGGGTTTGGGTTTTTAGGGAGTGGAGATGACTGTTGTACCGGGGGATCGGGTGAGTTTGGAGATGGTCCTGGATTTCAGGAGGACGAGAGAGTTGAAGGTGGAGGAGAGACGATCATGGAGCAGCTGGACGGCCTCTTCAGGATCTCTGTGGGTGGAAGGACAGGGGGATAGGATATCGGAGGATGTGAGGGCCTTTATGAGGGTCTCAGGGGGTAACCTTTTCCATGGGTGGTAGAGAATGGTTGAGCGCTTGGTGGAGGAGAGAGGAGAGAGGGATGTGAGAGGAGAAGGAGATGAGGAAGCAGTCTGAGATGGTCTTGTCCATTATGCTCAGATTGGAAATGTCTAGGCCATGGATGATGACAAGGTCGAGGACATAGCCATGGTTGTGGGTCAGTGAACTTATGTGAAGGGTGAGGTTTAGGGAGGAGAGGAGGACAGTGAAGTCAGAAGATGTGGTGCAAGGGGAGTTTAGGTGGAGGTTGAAATTGCCCATTATAGGTAGTGGTTCGGAGCAGAGGGACAGGGAAGAGAAGAGAATAGATATGTCAGAGAGGAAGGAGCCAGGGGGCTTAGGGGAGGTAGACCAGACGGATTTTCAGTGGGATAGAGGGATGGAAGAGAGTGAGGTGCTCAAAAGAGGGGAAGCAGCCAGAAGAATAAGGGGAATAATGACCAAGGGAAGTTTTGGAGATGAGGGCCACCCTACTGCCACGTTGGTTTGGATGGGGGGTGTGGTGGAAGATATAGCCTGGAGGGGAGGCTTCAACTAGGGGGACGGAGTCATTGGGAAAGAGCCAGGTTTCTATGAGCTGAAGAATGTTGAGGTGCTCATCCAGGATGAGGTCATGGATGGTGTGAGATTTGTTTGTGAGGGAACGGACATTTTGCAGGGAAATGCAGGTGGTTTTGCTGGTGGGAGGAGAGGGAGGAGAGAGTGATACGAAGAGGATTTTGGGATGTACAGAAGAGATGGCTGTGGAGAGTGGGGGGAGTGGAGAGTTGGGGAAGGTACGTATGAGGGAGGGGGAAGTTGGGTTTGCCTTAAGAAGGCGGTTTGAGTGGAGGGAGTGAATGATGGGGCATTTGGGGTCGCTGCTCTGGGACAGCCAGTGCCGGGAGCCACGAGGGGCCCAGCGGAGGATGCCCAGGCTGGAGCAGAGGGAAGTGGTGATGGGGTCCAGGAGAGAGAGAAGGTGGGGAGGGCGGGGGGGAGAGAAAGACAGAGGGGGAGTAGCCGATAGTGGGGGGTGGGAGGAGAGACATTTAGAGTGGAGGGGAAGGCTCGGGTTGGGTGGCAGCACGCAGAGACCGGGAGCGAGCGATCAGTGGGACGGCATCAGCCCATAGGGTGTGTGGTCATGGCTAACATGTCAGTGACGGGGCGGCCAGGACATTTTCTCCTGAACCACTTTCACTGTGGATTAGTTTTTTTTAAGCTTTTCTAAGTGTCAGTTCAGTGCTGTTAGTGTTGGTGTTCAGTGCTGTTCGTGTTGGTGTTCAGTGCTGTTCGTGTTGATCATTCACTCCATGGCTGTGGGATGTTGCTGTGGGCAAATTAGCTGCGCATTAGCCGACAAAATACACTCTCCACTTAGATTCATAGATTCACAGATTCTTAGAATGTTACGGCACAGAAGGAGGCCATTCGGCCCATCGAGTCTGTGCGGCTCTTGGCAGAGCGTCACTTTCACTAACCCCACTCACCAGCTTTCTCCCCATAACCCTGCAAACCCAGATACCTGTCCAGTTATCTCTTAAAAGCTGTTATCGAATCGGACTTCACTGCCCTTTCGGGCGGATCATTCCAAATTCTAACAACTCGCTGAGTGAAAACATTTCTTCTAACCTCCCCTCTGCTTCTTTTGGTAGATATCTTCAGACTGTGACCACGAGTCACAGACACACCTACCAGCGGAAACAGCTTTTCCCTATCTCACCTGTCAAAACCTTTCATGATCTTGAAGACCTCTATCAGGACCCCACATAACCTTCTCTGCACTAATAGGAAAAGTCCTAACTTTTCCAGCCTGTCCTCATAGCTAAGGTTCCCCATTCCTGGTATCATTCTCGTGAATCTCCTCTGCACCCTTTCCAGTGCCTTAATATCCTTCCTGAGGTGAGGTGCCCAGAACTGGACGCAGTACTCCAGCTGAGGCCTAACCAGTGTTTTGTACAGATTAACCATAACCCCTATACTCTTATACTCTATGCCCTACTAATGAAGCTCAGTACACCAAATGCCTTTTTACTGACCTAACTTGGTATCATCTACAAACTTGGAAATAGTGCTCCCTGTGCCCAAGTCCAGATCATTAATATATTAGAAAGAGCAGTGGTCCCAATACCGATCCCTGGGGGACACCGCTGCACACCTCCTTCCATTGCGAGAAACACCCATTAACCACCAACCTCTGCTTTCTGTTACTCAGTCAGTTCCTAATCCAAACACCTACTGTCCCCTTAATACCGTGGGCCTCAATTTTTTTATTAATCTCTTATACGGAGATATATCTTATATCTCTTATAATCTCTTATCTCTTATATTAATCTCTTATACTGTGTCAAAAGCCTCTTTGAAATCCATGTAAATAACGTCCACCGCATTTCCCTCATCAACCCTCGCAGTCACTTCTTCAAAAAAATTCTATTAGATTTGTGAGGTAAGATTTGCCTTTAACAAATCCATGTTGGAGGTCTCTAATTACCTCGTGTTCCTCTAAATAGAGATTTATTCTGTCCCGGATTACGGTCTCCAGTAGCTTTCCTATTACCGAGGTTAGGCTGACTGGCCTGTAATTTCCGGGCTTGTCTTTCTGCCCCTTTTTGTAGAGTGGGGTAACATTAGCCACTCTCCAGTCTCTTGGCACCACTCCTGTGTCCAATGACGATTGAAGTATAATGGCCAAAGCCTCCGCTATTTGAACCCGTATCTCCCACAGCACCTTGGGTGAAACCCATCTGGTCCTGGTGACTTATCAATTTTGAGCCCAGTCAATCTTTTCAGAACTTCCTCTCTGTCTATAGTAATCTGATCTATGTCCTCTGCCCTCTCATCCAATACTGCGGCATTTGGGGCATCCGTTTCCGTTGTGAAGACAGATGCAAAGTACTCGTTTAGTACATCAGCCATCCCTCTGCCTCCACAACAAGATTGCCGTCATTGTCTTTGATTGACCCCACCCTACCTTTAACTAACCTTTCTTCCTTTATGTGCTTATAAAATATTTTAGGATTCCCCTTTATGTTACCCGCTAACCTCTTCTCGTGATCTTTTAGCCTGTCTTATCGCTCCTGCATTCTCTATAATGTGCTTTGCTATCCTCAGTGTCTTGCGTCTTCCAATTGTCGTACGCCATCTTCTTCTTTTTCATCCTAGACAGAATATCCCTGGTCATCCAGGTTGGCTTGGTTCTCGCACATTTCCCTTTTGTGGGAATATATCTATTTAGACCCTGAGCTATCGTATCTTTGAAGATCTCCCATTGCTCATGAGTCGTTTTACCTGCTAGTCTTACTTGCCAGTCCACCAACTCTCAGTCCCTCTTTAGCCCATCAAAATTAGCTCTTTTCCAGTCAAGCATTTTCACCCTTGACTGTACTTTGTCCCTGTTCATGAGTAATCTAAATCTAATAATATTATGGTCACTGTTACCTCGATGCTCCCCTACCGAAACCTGTTCAACCTGACCTACTTCATTCGCCAGGACTAGATCCAGCAATGCTTCCTTCCTTGTAGGACTGGAGACATACTGCTCAAGAAAATTTTCCTGTGCACAGTCTATGAATCTTTCTCCGGCCTTTCCCTTAGCGCTGCTATTTTGCCAGTCTATATTGGGATAATTGAAATCCCCCATTATCTGCGATCTGGTTGCAGATCTGCTCCTCTATCTCCTTCCCGCTGTCTGGTGGTCTATAGTAAACCTCTATCAGTGTAACCACTCCTTTCTTATTTCTTATCTCTAACCAGATGGATTCTGTTGTCGGGCCCTCCAGAGCCTCGTTCACAGTGAATCTTGTAGACTAACTGAATAGCCAGTGCTACACTTGAAATGTTAGTTTATATGGAAGGAAAATAATTGAGAGGTTATAACAATGTTTATAACCTGTGGAACACTCCCTCAATCCCTCCGTCTTGCCCACTCTCCCCTTTTTCCAATCTCACCTGAAAACCTTCCTCTTTGACCATGCTTACTGTCATCTCCTCCCTCCCCCCCACCCCTAGTTTGGAATCAGGCTCCACCACTGTTAAGTGCTCTGAGATACTCCTCTACGTGGAGAGCGCTATATAAGTGCAAGTTGTTGTTGTTTATAAACTCAACTGCCCAAAGCTGCAATATTTGGATTGGCTAAACCAGGCCTCATGGACCTTCTTGCACAGAGAGATTATTGCCGTACACAACTGTTGTTCCACAGCAGCTTGAAGTCCACCCTGTACCGTTTTGAGGAAATCGGCCATGACCCAGAAGGGAATTAACAATGGGCACAGGTTGCTAGGAAGAGTGGTTGAGGCCAGGATACTGACCCATTTTTACAAAACAACCTGATGCTGTGATGATAATAATAATAATAATAATGATAATAATCGTTGCACTTGATGTAGCGCCTCATCACATCTTTGAGACGTCTCAAAGCACTTCACAGAACATACTGTAAAGTGAATTGACTGTTTATTTTATTTTGTGAGTGAAACACGGCAGCCAATTGCGCACAGCAGCGTCCCACAAAACAGTCGTGGATTGAAGTGACCATATTATTATTATTATTTATTTATTTTTTATTATTTGATGAGACCGAAGGGTCTTTTTCATCTAAACCAATCTTGTGCTCTTGTTGTTGTGACATGGCTTTTTTTTCGATGCACTGCAGGAGCAGCTGCGTACGGAGGCCCTCTGATCGTTGGAGCCCTGGGGTTCACTGGGAAGGGAATAGCAGCAAAATCCTTTGCCAGTGTCATGATGAAAGTGTCTGCTACATTAGGTGGCGGAGGAGTGGCTAGAGGAGGAATGGTGGCAATTCTTCAAAGCCTTGGTATGTGCTGAGGTTGTACTGTACCCACGTGTGATGGGATAGAGCAGCTAACATGGCTGACTGAAGCTGCGATGTAACACACACTCTCCGCTACACAGATACTTATCGCTTCTGCTAACGTAACGCTACATCTCCTCCAGTGCCCACAGTACATAACATTACGTTTGAACATCCTCGGCTGTGATCAAAGTCAGGGTTACAGTGACACTGGGCTGTGTGTGCGTGTGAGTGTGTGACATTTACTGTGAACTGTGTCTGTAACTGTTACAGTGTGTAACGGTTGCAGTGTGTGTGTGTAACGGTTACAGTGAGTGTGTGTGTGTAACGGTTGCAGTGTGTGTGTGTGTGTAACGGTTGCAGTGTGTGTGTGTGTGTAACGGTTACAGTGTGTGTGTGTGTGTGTGTGTAACGGTTGCAGTGTGTGTGTGTGTAACGGTTACAGTGTGTGTGTGTGTGTGTGTGTAACGGTTGCAGTGTGTGTGTGTGTGTAACGGTTGCAGTGTGTGTGTGTGTGTGTGTAACGGTTGCAGTGTGTGTGTGTGTGTGTGTGTAACGGTTGCAGTGTGTGTGTGTAACGGTTGCAGTGTGTGTGTGTGTGTGTAACGGTTGCAGTGTGTGTGTGTGTAACGGTTGCAGTGTGTGTGTGTGTAACGGTTGCAGTGTGTGTGTGTGTGTGTGTGTAACGGTTGCAGTGTGTGTGTGTGTGTGTGTGTAACGGTTGCAGTGTGTGTGTGTGTGTAACGGTTGCAGTGTGTGTGTGTGTGTGTAACGGTTGCAGTGTGTGTGTGTGTGTAACGGTTGCAGTGTGTGTGTGTGTGTGTGTAACGGTTGCAGTGTGTGTGTGTGTGTGTGTAACGGTTGCAGTGTGTGTGTGTGTGTGTGTGTAACGGTTGCAGTGTGTGTGTGTGTGTGTGTAACGGTTGCAGTGTGTGTGTGTGTGTAACGGTTGCAGTGTGTGTGTGTAACGGTTGCAGTGTGTGTGTGTGTGTAACGGTTGCAGTGTGTGTGTGTGTGTAACGGTTGCAGTGTGTGTGTGTAACGGTTGCAGTGTGTGTGTGTGTGTGTAACGGTTGCAGTGTGTGTGTGTGTAACGGTTGCAGTGTGTGTGTGTGTGTGTAACGGTTGCAGTGTGTGTGTGTGTGTGTGTGTAACGGTTGCAGTGTGTGTGTGTGTGTGTAACGGTTGCAGTGTGTGTGTGTGTGTGTAACGGTTGCAGTGAGTGTGTGTGTGTAACGGTTGCAGTGTGTGTGTGTGTGTGTAACGGTTGCAGTGTGTGTGTGTGTGTGTGTGTAACGGTTGCAGTGTGTGTGTGTGTGTGTGTGTAACGGTTGCAGTGTGTGTGTGTGTGTAACGGTTGCAGTGTGTGTGTGTGTGTAACGGTTGCAGTGTGTGTGTGTGTGTGTAACGGTTGCAGTGTGTGCTTTTGTCAGTGTTACAGTGTCAAGCTTCACCGTTAAACGCCCTGAGGCGGTGCCACCGACACTACACACACTGACACCGACACTACACACACTGACACTACACACATTGACACCGACACTACACGCACCGACACTACACACACTGACACTACACACACTGACGCTCCGCACCCCGCTACTGCGCACATGAGTGCAGAGGGAGAAGGGGCAGAGGAAGAGGGGAAGAGAGGATGGGGGATAGAAAGGAGGTGAGAAACAGGGAAGGGAGAGAGGATGGGGACAAGGAGTGGGAAGAGGGGGTGTTAGGCGCTTGTGTGGAGGGGGAGAAGGGGAGAGCTCGGAAGACGGAGGGAGAGAAAGAAGGGGGAGGGGACGAAGAAGGGGAAAGAGAAGGGGTGAGTGGCAGAGAAAGAGAGGCAGGTCGGGGGGGAGACAGAGAGGAAGATGGGGGAAGACACTCTCTCTCTCAGGCCCTCTCTCTCTCCTTCTCTCACCCACACACACTCTCTCGCTCACAACCGCAGGGCTCCATCCTTGGCCTCTTCTTTTCCTTATCTCCATGCTCCCTCTGGGTGATGTTATCCACAGACACGGTAAACTTCACATGTTTGCGGTGACACACAAATCTACTTTGCCTCCTCCAGCACCAGCTCCAGGTCCCCCCGATGTTCATCAGCTTGTCTGGCAGACATCAGGGCCTGGATGAACTTCCTGCAGCTGAATGTGGACAAGACGGAAGCCATACTCCTTGGCTCCCGTCAACGTCTTCACTCCTGCAGATCTGAACTCCTCAACCTCCCTGGGCTCCTCCTCACACTCACCAAACCAGTGCACAATCTAGGCATCCGTTTAGACCCTCAGTTGTCCTTCCCTCCCCACATGCAGTCCCTGACCAGGACAGTCTTCCTCCACCTCTCCCACATTGCCCGCCTCCAACTGTACCTTGCCCCAAATGCAGCTGAAATCCTCGTACATGCGTCTGTCACCTCCCACTTGGATTACTCAAACACTCTCCTTGCCGGCCTTGTCGTGACTCTCAGTTTCAGAATTCTTTTGTATAACTCAGCTCACTGATAAACCAGCAGTGATCGATCTATTTTTCATTCGTTATTCACAATTACCAACAACAATGTGCATTTATAGAGCACCATCACACGGGCAGTGTCTCAGATCGAGTAGCAGTGGCTTGATATCCTAAAACAACGAGCAACAACAGACGTTCCTCTGCTTCTCTCTGTTTGACAGGAGCGACCGGCAGCACTTACGGATGGCTGGGGACTGGAGCCCAAAGTGGATACCAAATCTTCCAGCGATTCTTCTGTAGAGGAAATGAAAAGTCAAAGAAACCAAGCTCTTCTTATTCTAGTGATTAAAATGGCAAAATCAATAGTTTTAAGGAAGGTAATCAATATAATGATTCAATTACAATCCTATATTGCACATCCCTGTACAGTTATCATTTCTGTTTCTTAATTTCTTACCGTCCGTCAAATGTAGCCTCAGGTGAGGAGCGGTGGCTTTAAGCTGCTGTGAAACAACACAAATCAAGTTGTGTTTAAAGTTAAAATAAAAGTGCTTATCTGACCCCGAAAAGCAGCAAACAGGTAAAGCCTCTAATCTTTCTATAACTCCTGTCTAATAAACTCTCTCTTTGACGGTGCTCCCCTTCATCCACAACATTGGTCCGGCCAACTTTACTTGTGAATTGTATGAAATATACATAGGTATTACTTTTGATTGATTAACTGATTGTAACTTGCATAATCTTACTAATTTGTATTAATAAATATCATTTGATTGATAAGTTTGTGTTGGTCCTCACTTCACTCCAGTGAATGAAGTAAGTAGAATCCTTTGATTCTATAGATAATTATTTGGGGAGAACAAGTTTGCAGGGCTATGGGGAGAGAGCGGGGGAGTGGTGTTGAATTGGAAGCTCTTTTCAAAGAGCTGACACAGACCGAATGGCCTCCTTCTGTGCTGTATAATTCCACAAAGTAAGGAATCCCTACAGCCCTCTTGTGATCATTGGTTTCTCTTTAGTTTCATTTCACTCAGCTAGCATGTGACCTCTGAAGAAATAAATCAAAAATGAAACTCAGCGGCTATTGAAAGTGCTGAGCAGCTCCCACCCACAGTTCAGGTTCCCAGCCATAGGTGTGAAGAGCTCCTGACTCGTAAACCGTGTAAAACAAAGGCAGAAATCACTGAGCAGCAAACAGCCCAACAGATTGGTGCCATTACAAGAATTCACAAGGGTTGAGTAAGTAAATGCTTAATTAACTGAGTAATCCCAATGGACAATTTATCTGCCACACTCAGTCCCAGACTCACACACTATAGTGCTTGGTAACTGTAATCAATGTTAATAATAATCCTTACATTTTATATAGCACTCACAATGTCATAACATGTTAAAACACATCACAGATAACTGCTGAGCAGTTTAGTGACTCTTGTTCAGCAATGAATTTGCACTCAGCAACGTCTCCTTAGCAGCCACAAGGGGAATGATTAATTTGTCTGGAGGATTGTTCTTCTATTGGGAGACACTCCCCAATATTTTAGAAATTCAGATTATTGTTACGGGATCTGTAATGTCCAGCTGAACTGCTCCTCCTGTAATGAGTTGGTGTCAGCCATGAATCAGCAAAGTTCAGCACCACCATAAAAGCTTTTTATCAGACAGAAAATGACTCGCGTCTTTCTCTTCCTCCCTGCAGGTCAGAGTTTGGTCATAACAAGCCTTGAATACCTATTGGAACTGTGAAGGAAAGCCACAATGCGGTGTCTGGTGATGCTGACTGTGGTGCTCTGCTCTTTCTGCACTGGTGAGACAACACTCTCTGGCTCCTCAGTGAGCAAACAGGGGAATTGCACCTTTGTCTTCACACAACACTGTTCCATCCATTGTCAACAACAAGCTATCCAGTTGGTTAGACTCCAGCAGTTACCCCAACGCACACTCTCAGGTCTCCAAGCCTTGGTTCTTGTCAACCTGCGCCTAATACTTTCCGGAATTAGGTTAGCAGGATGTGTCCCTCCAAGGAAAGAATGTGCATGCCATTCCAATAATCTATCTCTGGGATTTATATGTGTAGGTGAGATACATGGAAATGCCAGCTTGGTTAGGATACTCTTAAGCATGGTAATGACTTTCCGTATGTGTCTGACACCTGACTCACCCCCAAAAATTCCATTGTGTATGAACCCTGCCACAAACTGTGCCTTTGCTCTCTGGCAAACAATTTTCCCTTTCTCCACAAGTGGGATACTCACCATCAGATCTCCTAATTGTGACTTGAGATCCTGCTTTGTGTCCATCCTTTGTGGGGGAAACAACACAAAGCAAACCACTGACAATTTGTTACAATTGGTATTTTATAATAATAATCCTTGCATTTGATATAGCGCCTTATCACGTCTCTGAGACGTCTCAAAGGGCTTCAAAGAATATACTATAAAGTGAATTGACTGAATATTTTTGTGGGTGAAACACGCAGTCAATTGTGCCACAGCAATATCCCACAAACAGTTGTGGATTGAGTGACCAAATTATTTTTTTCAAAATGGATTATTACCCCTGGAAAAGTGATCCGCCAATCAACTAACAACCGAGGTACCGCTAGGTAAACAGAGGCGTGTGGAATAAGGACACTTGCCTAACGTTTCACCCTGCCCGGGAATTGAACCAAGGTCCTCTCGCTTACAGCCTGATAAAATGTCACTCATGTATTTCCAAGAATTATTATTATTATTATATGTTTCTATAGCATGGCCTGGTTTGAATTATTCTCGTGTGAGAAAAAAAACTTTACTTGTGGGTGGGGCTGGACTGTGTACACATGTGCCTGCTTCCCGAGAACGGTTTGATTTAAAAAAAAGATTGCAACTGAAGGGCGGTAAATTTGCAGAAACACTGTTTCAGTGAGCAATAAATTTATGGAATAGGCTGCCTAGGGAGATGGTGGAATCAGAAAATGTTGTTTGTTTCAAGAACAAATTAGAGATGTCTGCTAGAAAATAATAACTCGGGATACAGTGTATAGTTTGGGACACGACATATCAAGCGACTGCCAGCATGCTGGAAGGCCAACTAAATAGACCTTGGTTTTCTTTCGCCAGCAAATTCTTCTATTCTCATTAAAAAAAACCTTACTCATGAGAGCGAGAAACTACTGGTTTATGCGCACGCGTGACCCAGCCTCGGGGAAGTTGTGGAAACGTGCACAGCCCAGCCGATTCCATTGCTCACAGGTTTTTTTTATTGCGTCCCACTTTAGCCAGTTCATTGGGAGGTCTGAAATTATGTATTTGATTTATTTTTGAATGTCTGAACTTTCCAGCACTCAATCACAAGTGGTGGAGCAGTGCATCGACAGTGCAGGCCGGCAGGCCAGCGATACTCTGTGAATGGACCCGAGTGTCTGGTTTGAGAAACTGTGGCAAGGCCTGTGTATCCCACGCTGACTTCACCCACTGTCAGCTCAGCGCCTTGGGACGTCCTCCCAACATGAAAGGCATTATACAAATGTAATTTTGTGTTGTAACACAAACAGATTTCATATTGCACCTCCCTGTTGCACCACTGGGCTGTCACCATTTTGACTCACAAAATGCCAGCATATTTCAGTGTTATAATAATCCTTGCATTTGGTAAAGTGCCTTATTATGTTATCGAGAAATCTCCACGTGCTTCACAGGATATACTGTTCTTGCAGGCAGCAGTCAATTTGTGCACAGCAATATCCACAACCTTCTCATGTCTTCGATACGTCTCAAAGCTCTTCAGTGAATATACTGTAAAGTGGATTGACTGTGTATTTTGTGGGTGAAATGCAACAACCAATTGCACACAAAATATGAGTGATCGATTTTATTCGGAGGTTTGTTGGTCAGCACACCTGGAGAAACTCCCTTCTCCCTTTGCAAATAGTGCCATGGGATTTTATTTTCAACGTTCACTGGAACAAGCAGAAGGCGATCTCGGTTTAGCATCTCATTTGAAGGACGGCACCTCCAACAATGCAGCACACACCCAGCACTGCCCTGAAGAGTCATCTTAGACTGTCATCAATCAAAATATTGTCACAAGTACAGCTCTCAGTCTTTCTTTTATTTCTCCAAAAGGTTATGTGCAGTAGAGATGTTCTAAATGTCAACTTTTCTTTGTTTACAGTGGAGGCTATATCTCGCTCCAAGGCCTTGCTGATGAGTGTGGGTGCAGGTAATGCTGTCACTTATCTTTCATTATCCATTTAGTTTATGTCATTACCTTTATTTAGTGATATTTATTTAAAAATCCAAGTTCCATGTGTGGTGTGTATTGTTAATGGATCAGCAGCGCTGTGAAATCACGTGAAAATCGAATGGGAAGTGAGGTATTTTCAATAAAAATGTAGTTGTGCCTCTGAATTATAGCGGTCAGAAAAGCCTAAGCTCAAAGCAGGTGAGGTAAGGGAGAAACCTTTTGCTGTTGATTACTGACTGTATGGAAACCCTTGCTAAATGTTTACACAAGTGGGCAAGGTGAAGGCCATGGTCATGTTCCACTGTGACGATGCCAAGGCTGCCAGTAACCATACTGAAAGAACCATTCTGAAAGGTTTAGAAAGGGACATAACTGCCAAAGGAAGCACGCTCCACTGAACCTTCATCTTCAGTAGGTGATGATGTGGAGGGAGAAAAAAGGGAAGAATCAGAGGGTAAAACGTCTGTAAATAGTTGAATGTGAATCAATGAAACTCTGGCTTTTTCAGGTGGTGCTATAGTTGGTGCGAGGAGTTGCATTACTGCACTGGGCTTCACCAGTTCTGGCATAAAATCCGGCTCCTGGGCCTCAACATTAATGTCCACAGTCACATATCTCAATGGAGGAAGAATACCACCTGGAAGCTTTGTAACTACACTTGAATCTATTGGTAATTTGTTTTTCTTTCTTTTTCCAATTCTCCTTCTTCCTGGGGAGCTGCTTCCAAACCTATACCGCCTGTCAGGAGGGTCTCACAGTCCAGGCTTAGGAGATACAGAGACTCCCATCAAAATTACTTCCTGCCCAACCCATCAGCAATGCTTGAACAGTGCCCCTCTCCCCTAGAATAGTGTTCTATTTGCCTCAGCTTGAATCTCACCTTCCGAGGCGTATATTTCACCCATAAAATATAGTTAATTCACTCTGCAGTACATTCTGTGAAGTGCTTTGAGACATCTCAAAGATGTCATTATTGATTTATTATCCATTAGGACTAAAAAGCAGAGACAAATTTTCTGGAGGGGTGAGCGACCAAATATATATTATTTTTCAAATAAGTGAAACTGTATTGCTCTTTTAGCAAATTACCAATTTAATTTTAAATGCATACAAAATGCAAATGTTCAACTTTTGTAACTTGAAAACAGTGGAGGGGAAAAAAGTTCCAACATTCTAAAATTTGGTACACTTTATAGTAAATCCTATGAAACATTTGGAGAAGCTCTGTCGAAATGAAAGGTGCTAAACAGATGCAAGAATTATTATTATTATTACATTTCTCCTCTTGTTGTTTTCTTTAAAGGAACTTCAGGATTCTCCATTGAAACCAAAATAATCTTGGGATTCATCGGTGGGATCTTGGCCATTTTCATCACCAATAAGTTGAATATTTTTTGAACAATTACTGCTGTCGTGTTCTGCCAGGACCATAGATAAATGTGATGGGAATATATTGTTCTGTCAAGATATATTTACCAAAGGTAAATATGGTGAGAAAATATATGTGAGACATTCTCTTTATTTAAGGACAATAAAATTTTAACATGTACTGGATTTCTACTGAAATCAATATGACTGTGATAAATCTTTCTGAGTGTTGTGGTTTTGCAGGTGAAACAAGCCTGTAAGCACGGTCGAAAAGGAAGGTTTCTCAGGCGGGACTTGAAAAATGGGAGAGAGGGGGCAAGGCAGAGGGATTGAGAGTGTTCCAGAATTTCAGGCGTAGTGGTTGAAAGCGCGACCTCCGATGGTGGGGAGAAGGGTGTGAGGGACGAGCAGAAGGCTGGTGCCAGTTGAGTGGCAGGGATTTGGAGGGATTTGAACACGAGAGTGAGGATCTTGAAGTCAATTCATTCAGTGATGGGGAGCCAGTGGAGCCTGGGCCAGAGCTGGTGAGATGTGGAGACGGAGTTTGGTTCGGGTCAGTATGTGGACAGCTGGGGGTAAAACCGGATGCCTAGGTTGCGCACTGGTTCAGTGAATGTGAGGGGGAGCCCAGGGAGGTTAATGAGTTCAGATTCACAGGAGTGAAGACGTTGATGGGAGCCAAGGAGTATGGCTTCCGTCTTGTCCACATATATAAACAATCAAATAATCATCCCAAAGAACTGAAGGGCTAACCAGAAAGATTTAGAAATGATATAGAACTAGCAGTCAGAAGACATATATGTCACGGTATTAATAATAATAATAATAATAATATGCACAGTATTGTACATATATTGCATACTTGGGGTTCCAAACAAATGCACAAACTGCTCACTGTCTGAATCTCTTAACAGTACTAACCTCAAGCCAACACCGGGCTGGTGTGTTATTAGCATCAAATGAAGGGAGGCAAGACATTACACTATTCTTGTTGTTGAGTTTATTACTTACCTGTAAACTAGATGAATCAGAACCTTGAAACACTGCTGCCTGTGTTACTCTGGTACGTGTTGCTGGGGAGGTCAGGGGAGAATTCTATTACAATTTCAGCCACTTTTTGCTTTTCTATTTGGGAGTGCCTTGGCAGACAGTGATGGATTTATCAGAGGGCAATTCTACAGCCCTTCTGACATCAACTATAGTCGTGCATGACAGTACCAATCTGTATGGCTCATCAGGGACCTCAACCAATATATGTTTACCCCATGTCTGTGGATGAAGTCACCAAAGGGGAACATGGTAGATATTAAAGAGAGGACCAAGTACAGAGCCTCAAATCCATTGACAGAGGCTCAAGAACCTCAGGTCCGGGATGAGAGCTAACTTTCTCCAGTTGAATGTCAATGGGACATGGCTCCCGTCAGCACCTCCACACCTCAGGAGCTGACAGCATCACCATCAATGGTTCAAATTTTACCTTTTCCACTGTCTCCACTTTAGTGTCTCTACGAATAGCTTCTCCTCCAGCCCTGCACTGTTTCATATAGCGTTCTTCAGGGCTCTGTCCGTGGTCCCCTCCTCTTCAATATCTATATGCTCCCTCATGGTGACATCATCCGCAGATAGGGGGTCAACTTCCACATGTATGCGGATGACACCCAACTCTATCTCTCTGCCTCCACCCTCAACTCTGGAACCATTCTTGATATATTGTCTGTCAGACATCAAGTCCTGGATGAAAGCTAAGTTTCTCCAGGTGAATGTCAACAAGACCAAGGCCCTCCTGCTTTGGTTCCGTCAGTGCCTCCGAGTCTCGACCAATGCAGACAATCCTGCTCATGTGTAAATGATCTAGGGTTAAAAAGTCTTGAATTTCACATGAGCAACATGGATTCAATGTCTACAAAATGGGCTGTAAAGGCAGTTTCTCTCTATTAGATGTGGGCCTGGCAGAATGAATATCCAGAGCAGTCTTGGATATGTAAAGTTTTCCTTTACATATGATTAAAATGAAAGTAGATCTCAAACATCAAGTGTACATTTGGAGCTGATGTGGGCCCACAGTGATTACTGCTCCAGGAAACAGAACGTTTCCTGCCTCAGCCTCTATCCCAGGACAAATCCACCAAATCTGAAATGCTTGAATAAAGCAACTGTCTTTATTCAACAGAATCATAAACTTTGTCAAAACCTATAGATCCCAACTGGAATACATTACAAATCAGTGCAATTAGGATATTAACCAACAAGCATTGAGACGTTTCATTCATAAGGTCATATAGGCAAAATTAAGAGCATCACAATGAGGGAAAGTGAATGTGGGCAGGATTGTGTACACAGTGAGCCACATCAGGGAGTTTTCAGTGTTACTAATATTATGAACAAGATTCTGGAAGTGCAGTTTATTAGAATATTACTGAACTGCCAGCAATGTTTCTTCAAGTAAGCCCGACTTTTAAACCTCTGATGTACAGTCCAACCACACTCAATTTAAATAAATGTTCAAACTCCGACACAGGTCACAGCTTCATTCTTTCAGGTCTCAGGTGCAGGTGCTAACTACTACTGGCCTTGTCTGGCTGGTTCTTGTTTAGCACCGCTTTGGGAGTGAACTCCAGTTTATCTTTTAGGCTCAGCACCTCTGTACAATCTTTACCAATGAGCTCAGTGAGTTTTCTCTCTTCACGCATCTCAAAAATGCTTTTCTCTTCAATTGGTTGTTGCAGATCTCCACGGATAAACCATTCTAAATTATAGCCCACTGCACCTACCACAAAGGCCACAGGAAATGTTATGTAGGGAGCATATGCACGCAAAGCGGTCCATAAGACAGGCCACATGATGTCTGGGAAAAAAAGAATATAATTTGAACTCAGAGCTCTTATATATCATCCTGTGCCTTCAGTCCTTACACAATACGGTACCAGATTCTGGGAGTCGCTGAGACTCTATAACAACACAGATTGGGCACTGTACCCATCCAGAATGACTTTATAGCTAGCTCAAAGGTTTCTCATGCTGGTTGGCTTACAGCGGCAAATAGTGTTCTAAAGTTTCGCCCACAAAATATACAGTCAATTCTCTTTACAATATATTCTATGAAGCGCTTTGAGACATCTCGAAGAAGTGATGAGGCTTTGTATCAAATGCAAGGATTATTATTATTAAATTCTTACTGTCTGTCTGTCTGTCTGTCTATCAAGTCCCTCCATGGCTTTGCCCCCGTCTACCTCTCCGACCTGCTAACCGCTTATCAACCTGTCCGCTCCCTCCACTCAGCAGGCCGTGGCCTTCAGCCTCTTTGCCCCCACCTCTGGAACTCCATCCCACATTCCCTTCACCTCGGTCTCTCCCTTTCCTCCTTCAGGGCACGCCTCAAGACCCTCCTCTTTGACTGTGCTTTTGGACCACCCTCTCTGCCCTCTACCCTCCCTGATCCCTCCTACACTTGGGTCCTAATCCCTGACTGTTCAGCGCATTGGGATGCCCTCCCGAAGTGAAAGGGGCTTTACAAATGTAATTTTGTACTGTAGTATTATTAATTTGAAGAGGTCTCCAGATCACGCTGAAAACACGCAGGCTTGCAACAAATTTCTCTGGCTTCTCATTATTTTTTTTTAAAAATTGAGGTTTATTGTGTTTTAGGCCTTATTTGCAACTCTTAAACTTCCAACAAGAGACTTTTACAGAAAAATTTGTAAATGTGCCCTTTAATCGTGTACATTTGTTCTGGAATTTGTGATCTCATAGCTATGAAGCGGAGTCCATTGGCAGCTCGGAACCCCACACAGCTTTGGACTTCAGCTGCAAACATTTATCAAAATATTTGTTCTGGAGAATGTACTTATTTATATAATAATATAATGTCAATTGATATAACACCTTATTAAGTTATTGAGACATCTCAAAGCATGTCATAGAAGATATTGTAAAGTGAATTGACTGTATGGGGAGGGGGGGATAATAATAATAATAATAATAATAATAATCCTTGCATTTGATATAGCGCTCTTCACGTCGGGAGGACGTCCCAAAGCGCTTCACAGAACACACTGTAAAGTGAATTGACTGTATATTTGTGGGCGAACGCGGCAGCCAATTGCACACAGCAATGTCCCACAAACAGTCCTGGATTCATATTTTTGGGGGGTGGGGGGGGGGGGAAGGATTATTATCCCTGGAAAGTGATCCACCAATCGACTAACAACCAGGTTCCTACTAACTGTCGGGTGATTAGGCCATGTGGAGTAAGGAAATGTGTAAGGTTTTGTCCTGCCTGGGGATCGACCCCAGGTCCCCTCGCTTGCGTACCGAGGGCTCTGACCATTATTCTACTTCACCACTTCTCTTCCAAACTAAAACCTTGTTTTAATATATCTGGGCTAACCCAAGAGTATCATAAAGATTTATCCAGGGAATAACTGCCATCTTGAGGAGGCTTTCAAATTCGTGTCCAGTTTATTGTGTTTCAGGGCTTTGTCGGTGTGGGTCGGCGGGGAGTCAGCGCACTCAGCTCGTTACTCCGCAACCCCTACTGGGTACTGTGATCCCAGCAGGAAAGGCAGTGGGAAACCGTGTCCGACAGCAACATGTGTGTGGCTTCAGCTGATGGCAGACAGACAGACAGACAGACACACAGACAGACACACAGACAGACAGACACACAGACAGACACACAGACAGACAGACACACAGACACACAGACAGACAGACACACAGACAGACAGACACACAGACACACAGACAGACAGACAGACAGACACACAGACAGACAGACACACAGACAGACACCCAGACAGACACACAGACACACAGACACACAGACAGACACACAGACACACAGACAGACAGACACACAGACACACAGACAGACAACAGACACACAGACAGACAGACAGACACACAGACAGACAGACACACAGACACACAGACAGACAGACACACAGACAGACACACAGACAGACAGACAGACACACAGACAGACAGACACACAGACAGACACACAGACACACAGACAGACACACAGACAGACACACAGACACACAGACAGACAGACAGACACACAGACAGACAGACACACAGACAGACACACAGACACACAGACAGACTCGGGCCGCAGCGCTCCAGGGGTTCCATTCCATTCCCACAACCGCTCTCTGGGATTTCCAGGTGGAGGTGAATTCCAACTGTTTCTCCAACTTGGACCCCCCCCTCCCCCACCCCCCGGGCCCCACCCCCCTCCCCCACCCCCCTCCCCCACCCCCCTCCCCCACCCCCCGGGCCCCACCCCCCTCCCCCACCCCCCTCCCCCACCCCCCCTCCCCCACCCCGCTCCCCCACCCCCCGGGCCCCACCCCCCTCCCCCACCCCCCGGGCCCTCACCCCCCTCCCCCACCCCCCGGGCCCTCACCCCCCCTCCCCCCACCCCCCCTCCCCCACCCCCCGGGCCCTCACCCCCCCTCCCCCACCCCCCGGGCCCGGGCCCCACCCCCCCTCCCCCACCCCCGGGCCCTCATCCTCGGCCTTCACCTCCGGGCCTCACCTCAGTCCAGGCGCCGCTGCGGTCTGTATTCCCGCCTGTCAGGGCCCCTCAGCCCCGCCCCTCCCGCCTGTCAGGGCCCCTCAGCCCCGCCCCTCCCGCCTGTCAGGGCCCCTCAGCCCCGCCCCTCCCGCCTGTCAGGGCCCCTCAGCCCCGCCCCTCCCGCCTGTCAGGGCCCCTCAGCCCCGCCCCTCCCGCCTGTCAGGGCCCCTCAGCCCCGCCCCTCCCGCCTGTCAGGGCCCCTCAGCCCCGCCCCTCCCGCCTGTCAGGGCCCCTCAGCCCCGCCCCTCCCGCCTGTCAGAGCCCCTCAGCCCCGCCCCTCCCGCCTGTCAGGGAGGGGGGGGGAGGGGGAGATCGATTGCACGGTCAAAGAGGAGGGTCCTGAAGGTGGTGCGGGAGGGGGCGAGGCTGAGGGACTGCGCGATGGAGCTCCAGAGGGTGGGGGCAGAGTGGCGGAAGGCCCACCCACTGATCGTGGGGGGCGAGCGAGGCCGGGGACGAGAAGCAGGGGCCGCGGGGCGGAGAGAGCGGGCAGCGTGGGGGGGGGGTTAGGAGGTCAGAGAGGTGGGGGGAGAGAGACTGTGGAGGGCTCTGAAGGTGAGGACCAGGATCTTGAACAGTGTCCTCTGTGTGATGGGAAGCCGGTGGGGTCGGGCGAGGATGGGGGTGATAGGGTCACGAAGCCCGGTGTGGGAGAGGACACGGGCTGCAGAGTTCTGGATGATCTGCAGCCTATGGAGAGAGGAGTTGGGGGCCGACAAGCAGTGAGATTGCATAGTGAAGCCTGGATGTTATGAAGGTGTGTGTGAGGGTCTCGGGGGCTGCGGTGTGTGACAGTGGCGGAGCCGGGTGATGTTGTGGAGGTGGGGAAGGCAGAGCGGGTCATGGCGCAGATGTGGGGTAGAAAGGATAGTTGAGGGTCAATCAAGACCCCAAGGTTCCTGCCCGGCTCAGTGAGGGGGAGTGAGCCCCATGGATGGTGATGCTGTCAGCGCCTGAGGTGAGAACGCGCTGACGGGAGCCAATCAGGAGCCTCGGTCTTGTTGACGTTCAACTGAAGAAAGTTCACTCTCATCCAGGACTTGACGTCTGACAGACATTCTGTCAGGACAGCAGTGGGTCCTGGAGTCGAGGGTGGAGGCAGAGAGATAGAGTTGGGTGTCATTCGCGTACATGTGGAAGTTGACCCCATGTCTGTGGATGATGTCACCAAGAGGGACATATAGATATTGAAGAGGAGGGGAACAAGGACAGAGCCCTGAGGAACACCGCACGAGACGGTGCGGGGACTGGAGGGGAAAATGTTTGTGTAGATAAAGTGGAGACGGTGTGAGAGGTACGATCTGAATCAGTCAATGACAGAACTGTGAAGGTTGAGGTGAACGGAGAGGCGGTGGGTGAGGATAAAGTGGTCGACGATGTTGAAGGCAGCAGACAAGGAGGCAGAGGGAGCCCTGGTCGCAGATGGACAAAATGTCATTTGTCACTTTGACCAGGGCTGTTTCTGTGCTGTGGGCGGCACGGAAACCTGATTGGAGGGGTTCGTGAAGGGAGTGGTGGGAGAGTAAGGAGCAAAGCTGTGAAGCTCGTTCCAGGACCTTGGAGTGGAAAAGGAGATTGGAGATGGGGCAGTAATTTGAGAGTAGAGATGGGTCCAGGGAGGGCTTTTTAAGGATAGGAGCAATGACGGCGGTTTTTAATGGGGTGGGACCAGTACCAGAGGACAGGGAGAGGTTTATGATGTCTGTGAGTATTGGGGCAAGGAGGTGGAGCTGGGAGGAAAGGAGAGGGTTAGGGATGGGGTCGAGGGAGCAGGTGATCGGTTTCATGCGGGTTATAGTGGTGGTGAGAGAATGGGAGACAGGTTCGAAGGTGTGAAGGGAGGGATGGGTAGGGACAAGGGTGGGAGGGGGAATGTGAGAGGGTAGCAGACAGAAGGGCAGAGGCAGCTGAGTGTATCCCTGCAACGTTGGACTTGAGGAAGTCCAACATCGCCTCGCACTGAATCCTGTGAAGTGCTTTGACTCGGTCTGTCTGCTCGTGTGAAAGGCGCTGTGTCAAATGCAAGGATTATTATTATTATAATCTGAGGCAATGCAGCGCTGGACTGAATTATCAACTTTGTAATGAGCTCAAGTCCCGATGGGGGCTGGGAACAACAACCTGACTGATTGGGACCAACTGAGCTCAGGGGATGTCAGAGTTCAGGAAAGAAAATAAGTTGTAAGCATTTAGATGAAGATTCCGGCCGGCTTCATGTCCCCCTCCTCACCCGCCCCGCCATTGGCCACTCTGCTCTCACCCTCTGGAACTTCATCCCGCAGTGCCTCAGCCTCGCCCCCTCCCATGCCTCCTTCAAGACCCTCCTCTTCGACTGTGCCTTTGGACACCCTCCTTTCCTCCCTGCCCTTCACTCTCCCCCGTCCCCCATCTCGGGTCCGAAACACTGACTGTCCAATGCCTTGGGGCGTCCTCCTGACGTGAAAGGCACTATACAAATGTAATTTTGTTGTTGTTGTTGAATTGGGCTGTGAGGATCCTGACATTAATCTGATGAAAAGTGTGTTTTCAAGAAAGCAAGAATGAGACCGGAATTCATTTAAAATAGTATTATAATAGAAAATGTTTACAACATCAACTGTATTACATCCTTATGAAATAAAACACATCACAGTGTACATTGTCCAGAGTCTGCAATAGCTTACATTTAGAGTATTTAACCATACAACTGAAAATTCAAAGAAAATGAATCAATATATCCTATTTCAGAATATGTTTGAAAATATTACCTGTAAAGTGATCCTGTTTTTGTTTTTGGAATACAGAGGTACAGTTTGAAGAAAAATATTACAGTGGTGCCGGTGTTTGAGGCAACAACCATTCTAGTCACAGTTTATTTGTTCCCCAACGAGAAAAGGAGGAAGGATAGAAAGATACTTACAAGAAGCTTAATACTGCTGGTTCTACGATTAAACAGGATCACTGATCGAAGCCATAGACTAACACTGTTAAGACAGCATTTCTGGAATATTTTTTGAAGCATATTTCTCTTGGATTTTCTTTACATTATAAATAATTTCATTGTTTATGTTTACACTTTCAGAAAAAAAGTCCTTTTCGTTTTCTTAATTAGAATTTGTTCAAAGAGTTGATAAAATGGCTATTTACAGTTGAGCTCTATGCCTTTTATATTGCAACACACACGCAAGCAGGAGAACATCTGTTCAGAAAAAACACAATTCAGGGCAGCAGGCAACCTCTCAGCTCCTGGCAGAGTGACACAGAAGGCTGATAGAGGAGCTTCTTTCTTGTGGAAAGCTTGTGTGCTTTCAATCCTGGTGAAGTTGAAAGTTAAATTATAAAGCTTTGCTAGTGAGTGAAGTCCAATAACTAAGAAATATAAAGTTTTTTTTAAAAGTAAAGCTTGGCCAACCGACTAGACAGCATTCTCTGTCAATGTTTTATACGCATGCGTTTAAGTAGCATTTTATAAAAGCTAAGAGAACATTACAAGGAGCATTATCTGGCGGAAATATACTTTTGAACAACCTTTTTCTGATATTTTCTCCAGTTCTAGCTGAGTATTTATCCGACATGTAATAAAATATTTTTGTAATCCGGTAATTTGCTTTTTTTAAGATACACACACTTTCTGTTACTCTGTGTCGTGTATGTTATATATTGTTTTAATCACAACAAGTGGACCCCTCAAGGCACATGAATAGTTTAAAAGCCTCGATGCAATGGGCTTACCTTTAAATGTGCACGAAGCATCAGGAAAAAGGGCCTGAAAATGTCAAAACTATTTGATTGGGTATAAATTAAAAATAACAATTGAAATCCCTTCTTAACAGTCTGGTTCTTGCTCAGCAGAGCTGGACATAGATAGTCAGTTTGGCTCCATCATCCCGAGGGATGATGACCTGGGTTGTCGCTTCCAACTTGCCTTTCCCACTCGGTTACAGACACTCCCCAGAGGCAGGAAGGAGATTTTTAGTTGGTTTAAACCTTTTTTTACAAAAAATCTCTTCAACTATTTTGAAGTTGTGATCCCATTGCATTGAGGTGTTCATTCTCACCTGCTGCTCAGTGAGGAACTGAACAAAGGCTTGTAGATGAGCACTTCTGTCAGCCTGTCCTCAGCCTTTTGTCTAATCCACATCTCTGTGTAACAGGCAGCGCTGGGGATGCTGGTAAGCGAGGACCTTGTGCACTCTGGGGATATATTTGTCATCGGGTGAACTTTTATATTGAAAAAAACACATTTGTTGGTAAATTTGGTTTTATGCTTTTTGAGGCAAGAGATTGTCTGCTTCTGGCCTCACCTAGTGTAAGCCTCACTGGTCTGAGAGCACACACAGCCTGGTGAGATGAGGAACACAGGAACACTGAGTCAACCTCTATAATAATAATAATAATAATAATAATCCTTGCATTTGAAATAGCGCTTTTCACGTTGGAAGGACGTCCCAAAGCGCTTCACAGAACACACTGTAAAGTGAATTGACTGTATATTTGTGGGCGAACGCGGCAGCCAATTGCGCACAGCAATGTCCCACAAACAGTCGTAGATTGAAAATGACCAATTTTTATTAGTTTGTGGTTTTTGGAGGATTATTATTAGGCTCTGTGTGGAGTAAGGAAACTTGCCCGAGGTTTCGCCCTCTGCCTGGAATTGAACTCAGGTCTCTCACTTGCAAAGCGAGTGCTCTAACCACTGAGCTACAGGACTCCAAACATTGACTCTACATTGACTCAGTGTGTCTCAAGCCTGTCTCAGTGAGATGGACCATTCAGTGTTATGGCCAGGACCTGGATTGAGACTCAGACGTTTCCAGCTGCTGTAGGAACTGGGTTGTATGGACTGGACTGAAAGTCATCTGCCAAAGGTGAAAGGAACAGGTTATTGAACAGAATTGTTCACATTTGTTCATGAGGGCAATCTGACATCAAAAGTAAAAATAATTATTGTATAGAATCTTAGGACGTCCTCCCGACATGAAGGGCGCAATAAAATGCAAACTATTGTTGGTCAGTGTGTAATTTAATAAGGGCAAGTTTGGATTTAAAAAAAACATAATGAGA